CTTCTTGGGACTGGAGAGATGGCTCAGTGGTTAAAAGCATTGCCTGCTCTTCCAAAGGTCCTGAGTTCAATTCCCAGCAACCACATGGTGGCTCACAACCATCTGTAACTCCAGTTCCAGGGGTTCGAGACCTCTTCTGACTTCTGTGGGCACTGCAAGCATATGACTCATACACATACATGCAGACAAAACATCCATATTAAAAAATACATGCTAAAAACACACTTTTAGGGGCTGGAGAGATTGCTCAGACGGTTAGCATGTTCACACAGCCCAAGGACCTGAACTCTCCTTTCCTGGTGTTCATAGACTCAAAAATAAAAGAATTTTAAAACAGACTCAAAAGGAAGTGTTGTATTAGTATTTGTTTGGTTTGTTTTGTGCTGTGAAGAGACAACATTTAACTGGGGCTGGCTAATAGTTTATAGGTTTAGTCCACTCTCATCGTGGCGGGAAGCATGATCGCACACAGACAGGCATGATGCTGGAACTGGAGAGGAGACTGGGAATCCTGCATCTGGATCCTCAGGCAGCAGGAAGTGAACTGGCTTGAGCATCCGAGACCTCAAAGCCCACCCCCTAGTGACACACTTCCTCCAGCCAAGTCACACCCACTCTAACAAGGCCACATCTTCTATTAGTGTCTTTTTCCTATGAGCCTACGGGCACCATTTTATTTAAAATACCGCAAGAAGTTCAAGGGCATTTTTATTAGAGGTGAAGCAACAAACATCAGGCCAGGCAAACTTGATCTCAGCAGCTGCCCGAGGAAGGAGATGGAGAAGAGGGAGAGAGAAAGGCATGTCCTTGGCAACGGAGGTCTGTAAGCAGCTGCATGGTAGAAAGGGGGGGGCTTCAGAGAAGAGTAAAAAAAAAAAAACCAGAATGCCAGGGAAAGCATGCTTAGGACTTTTGGCAGGTACATGAAAGAAAATGATAGAAAAGAAAGGAAAAAGCATGCTCTTGGGGAGGGAGAGACTGTTAGGCTACAGTGTTACAACATCTGCACCAGGAGGGGCTTTGGAGAAGGATAAATACATTATCGCATTAAGAGGATAACTATTCCTCCCATCTCCTTAGCATGGCTTTAGCGAATTCCCTTTTGGAGGATGATCTAGCCAGGTGATTGACAGGCCTAGCTGGATTAACTCTTAAGGGGAGTGTCCCAGTTAACTTTAACTGCCAATCAGCTGCAGCCTAGAACCTGAGAATGGAATCCCAGTGGAGGACTTGCCTAGCTCAGACTGACCTGTGGACACGTCCTGGCTGTTTAATGATGCAGGGAGTTCAGTCCATTGTGGGGGGCACCATTCCCTGGGCAGGTGATCTTTGGTTGTATAGGAAGACTAGCTCAGTGTGAGGGTGTGAACAGGACAAGCCAGCAGTGTTCCTCCATGGTTTCTGCCTCAGCTTCCTGCCTTGACTTCCCGCCACCTTGATCTGCAAGCCGAAAGAACCTGTTGCCTTCCCTAAGTCAATTTTTGGTCAGAGTGACGGCAGTGAAAGCAAGCAAGCTAGAGAGTAGGAGACTGCGGTGAGTAATGTTCTAATCTTTGGAGCAGATCAGAAAGTCTTGTCTCCACCCAGGCCAGAGGTAAATTCCATCCTTTTGACCTGGAGGACCCAGCTTTGTCTTAAAAGGCTGGAACAGAGCCTTTTGACCTATCCTCCATGCCCCCAGAGGCCGTCTTGCTAACCCTTTGCCTCTGCTCTCAGTGCATTCCTGAAAATGTTGCGATGCTCAGAGACCACACAGAGGGCTGCCTTTTTGTATTAAGTAAGAACACCCACAGTGCTGAGAAACCACAGCCTGCCCCAGGGTCCACAGTTTGCTTTGGGCCAAATGATCCACAAAAACCAACGTGAGGGCGCTGGACAGCTGGCTTAGAGGCTAAGAGCTCTCCCTGCTCTTGCAGAAGACCCCAGTTCCGTTCCCATCACCCATGGTGGTCTGCTCACAAACTCCTGAAACTTCAGCTGGATCTTCATTGGATCCTGAAACTTCAGAGGGATCCAATGCCCTCTTCTGGCCTCCGTACATACGTACAGACACACAGACACACACATAGACACACACACAGACACACAAATAATAATAAAAATGAAATAAAGCAACAAGAAGGAAAGATACTTCCAATAACCTTATCAACTGTATTAATATATGTAGTTATAAAATATATTGTGTATCAATCATCCCTCTGCACCTGCCAGTTCTTTGTGGGAGAGTTCATTCACTTCCGAGAAGTACTCAGGAGAAAAAAACAAGACAGAACTGTGTTTTCCTGAGGATGTCTGACCTTGGACCTTACCACGTGATGTCCTCTACAACTGCTTCTGGCAGCATTCATCACTCTCTGGGGTGGACACAATGGCCAAAATACAGAGTAACAACCTGACATTTCCACTACACTGAGTATTACAGGCACTCTGAGGGTGATTTTTAAATCTACAGCAGACATGTCTAGATTCTGGGCCAATACTACAGCAATGTAAACAAGAAACCTGAACAGAGAAGCCATTGGCATAAGGGCATCCCGGCAATAAGTGTAAACCCTGAACAATGCGTGCACATTTTAGTTTGTTGTTTTGTTTTATTTAATATTTTTAACAACTGAGACAGGATCTTACAACACATCCTGGGCTAACCTAGGACTTGCTGTGTAGCCCAGGCTGGTCTCAAACTCGAATTCTTCTGGCCTCAGTCTTCCAAATGTTAGGACTGTAAGTACACCAGACTGCCCTACCCTTAACAGTTTCAATCAAGCTTAAAAAATACTTAGTTTATTTTTAATTATGTGCCCTTGGGCAGGTGGGTATGTGTATGCGTGTGCAGTATCGTTGGAGGCCAGAGGCATTGGATCTCTGGGGGTTGTGAGCCGTGGGTTCCAGGAACGGAATCCAAGTCCTCTTCAAGAGCCGCTAGCACTCTTAACTGCTGAACCATTTCTACAGCCCCCTCGATTAAGCTTTTTTAAAAAGACAGTATATTTTTAGGATGTAAAATTCCAAAGTATAAGTGAAAGTACCAGTCTCTCCACCACTTTCTCCCAGGTCCTGTCCCCACACCGGTAGATATGACTCTCCAGAGATAGTTCGTCCCTATACAGGTACACACACACACACACACACACACACACACACACACACACACACACACACACACATCTCCACCATAGTGACATCACGCCCCGCTCTGCCCTCCCCCTCCCACACCTAACTTTGGTCTTTTTATAAGGGGCCTGGAGATCCACTTACATCTGACCACAGGGCACCATTCAAGACAATCAATCTTACTGTGCTCGATGGTCTCACGGTCTCCCGCCTCACAATTTACTCATGATTCTCACCTGGTTCCTCTTGCACCCAAGAAGGGCAGAGACCCAAGCCCCCCACCCTCCACCCCGACCCCCTGCTCTCCGATGCTTGTAGTTCCTACATTGACCAGCAGAGGGAAACACCATCCTATTCTTGGGACCACCAAGGGCTTTGGTGGGTTTCCCAAGGGGCAGTCAAGCTAGTGGCTTGGGGAAGGATGTGTCTAGGTACAAAGAACTCCTAAGCGGATCTGGGATCCTCTTCATTCTATCCCTGGCCAGACCTCTGCCAGGCCTCTCCTTCCTCTGTTTCTATCTCTGTGTATGCCTCCTACCCTCAGGGAGAAGTCTGCTCATTTATGGGAGGCAGAAAACTTTTCCCTAGGTTTGGGGCTCAGGAGCTGCCCCAGGGAATACAGACCAATGAGCTACATCAAGGAGGGAGGCCATGATGGCAAGTGGGTGGAGGGGTCTGTGTTTTTTCCCTTACCCCCCAGATCCTTGACCCTGAGTCCCCTTTAATTCTCCAATCCACACCCACAACAGCAGCCTCTCCCTAGCCTGGTGCCTCTGGGGCTCCACCCCACCACCCCCACCATAGTGTTGGGGGTCGTCTGGAGTCCAGCTTGTAGCCGAATAGAAGCCACCCCTTTCCTGGTCCTGCCCCTCCCAGTGACCCCAATCCTCTGCCAGCCGCTCAATGATGCCTTGTTCTCCATCCAGCTCCCAGACAAAAGTCCTTCTGTGTAAAAAAGGCGGAATTTGGGGGGAGGGGGCACCCCCAACAGGGACCATGTGGGGGCTTGTACAGACCTCAGGCGGAAGGAGTGCAGAAAGAGGAGGGCAGGAGAGGAAGGAGGGTAGGGGGGGGGGCTTATCTGCAGTGGAGGAAGGTCTTTCTGACATCCACACCCACACCCTCTCCATAGCATCCTCCCATCGGCTGTGCGTTCCTGGGAGAAACACGGCTCAGGGTCTACAGTCTGGTGCCCAAGTGCAAGTTCCATTCTCAGTCTTCTAGGGCCTGGTCTATGAGCCCCAAGAACCACAGCCCCCACCTCTGCCCACCATGCAAGAGTCTCATTCATATGACAACTGCGGCCATATCAGTATCTTCTATTAACCCCTCCGCCCTGCCGACAAAGAATCTAGGATGGACAGAGGGTTTTTAACTCCTAAAAATGCCAGCAATGCCACCCCCAAACAAAACTAGAGCTGGTGCTGCACACTTTTAATCCCAGCATTTGGAGGGCAGAGACAGGTGGATCCTGATGACACCAAGGTCAGCATGGTTTGCAATGTGAGTTCCAGGCCAGCCAGGGCTACATAGTGAGACCCTGTCTCACAAACAAACAAACAAACAAACAAACAAACAAACAAAAGTCCTTTTGAAGCTAAATCAGAGAAGGATCTCATAGATGTTCTGCTTTAACCATGTCCCTCCAAAAGGATGGTTTGACACTAAGGAGACGGGAACCTTCCCCATTCTGGGTCTCCTTTGGAGTTCAGGAGACTGGATAAAACATCTTCCCTCCTTTACGATGCTAATCCCCAGCCCACCTTGATCCCCTTCCTCTTCACCAGAGACTGCTATAGCTAGAAAATGGGTAGGACTGTCCCTTTAAGGGAGGAATGGGGTGGGGGCGTCCCTGGCCTCAGGGAGACCTGACTTGTGCCTGCCTGCCCAGGTTTGCTCAGGGCGTGGCAGTTGTGGATAAAGGGCTGCCCAGGCTTGGCAGTCCGCTTTCTGCTTTCTCCCGGAACCGCCTCTCAGCCTGTTGAGCTACTCAGGTGAGCGGCCCTGGGGGCCCCTTCCTCTCCGAGCCCTTTGCCTCTGTCCCCCTCCTCTCCCTGGCTCTCCTCTGACTGTCCTCGCTACGTAGAACTGGGGTTAAAGATCCCAACAGTCTTCCAGCTTCAAGATTTCTTTTCTGGGGGCAGGAGACTATCCTCTCCTGCCTCAGTTGACTGCTTCTCACGGCTCGACTCTGTGGGTCTAGATTAGACAACTGGGGTAACCCACCTGGCATTTACAGTGGGGATCAGGGAAGACTGGGGTGGGGGGTCCTGAGTGGATGGGAAGTCTGGGTTTAACCGGTGGGGGTGTCAGGGTAGACAGGAAGTGATTACAACATGGTATCACGATTGGGGATTTTCTTGGGGGTAAGGTCGGGGAGGGGTACCTGGGGGTAACTCAGTAAACAAGAAGTAATTTAAGTGCAGAGGGATGACGCGGATGGGGGCTGTGCCTGTATGGACATGCATGTGATAGAGGGGCACGCGGATGATGATGGATGCCAGGAAAGAGGGGTGCTCTCCTCTCTGGAGGCTGTAAAGTGGGACTTGGGTAGGAGATGTGGGGGACTCGGATGACTAGGGTTTATGCAGGATACCCCGGCAGATGTGGCCATCCTGCACCGTCGTGGAGGAGGCGAGACGCAGGAGGCAGTGGTTGCAGCTGTCCTCCGGCTTGCACAGCCAGGAAGTAGATGAGGGTAGGTAGTGTCTCAGGCAAGCAGGCAGCTCTCTTCAGAACACAGTGAGGGGAGATGGCGGTTTCCAGCCCCCTGAAGCCCTGCAAATGCCAGGGTCGAGACTGTACAGTGGCAGGGCTGCAGATGGAATCTCTGTCTTCCCCCACCCCTGCCCAGGCTCTCAGATTTTGGGTGTTTTGTGAGGATGGGAGAGTGCGGGCCTTTCGGGGCCTCAGAGGGGTCTGTAGGGAGAGAGGTAAGAGGCGAAATCCAGCAGTGTGACAACAGCGTATGGTGTTAGGGGAGTTCAGAAGTGACAGCCGTGATGGCAGCGCCGCCGGCTTCATCCAGCTGTGAGGATGATCTGAGGGAGGCAGGGTCAAACTGAGAGAAATTCATGGGCTGGGCACTCAGGCGGAGCCGGCTGCCACAGCTAGTGTCTTACACACGTGGGCAACAGAATATTAGGAGGCAGCCTTCGACCACAGACATCTGCAGCATGTACCCCTAAACACCACTCCAGCTCCCCAAAGTGCTTGCTGGGGTCCTAGACATATGAGATATAGTCCCCAAATCTACTACAGAAAAAAATAGAAGCTAAATCTAAAATAATGAGTTGTATGTGGGGTGTGTGTGTGTGTGTGTGTGTGTGTGTGTGATATTAAATCCAGGGCCTGGAGAGTAGGCTAAGCAAGCCTCCAGTGCAGGGCCACTCTCCTGGGCCCTCATGGAGGAATTCTAGGCAGGGGCTCTACCACTGAGCCACACCCCAACCCCTCACTGGGGGATTCTAGGCAGGGGCTCTACCACTGATACACCCCCCAGCCCCTCACTGGGGGATTCTAGGCAGGGGCTCTATCATGTCCTCACTGGGAGATCCTAGGGAAGAGCTCTATCATTGAGCTGCATCTCACATCCTCTTTTTACCTTTTGTTTTGTGACATCTCACTAAGTTATTCAGTCTGGCCTTGCACTCTGTATTCCAGGTTGGCCTTGAGTTAGCATTTCTCCTGCCTCAGCTTCCCTGGTAGCTTACATCACAGGTCTGGACCAATTTAGGTGGATAGAGAAGCTGAAGGATTTCCCAGGCCTCTGGGGGTGGACCCAGGGAGATGGAGATGTCTGTGTGAGCATATGGGACACCCCTGCACCATCGGTGGCTGGCTCCATTCCTTCTAAATGTGTGCTTTGGTGGGTAAAAAGGGTTAGTTCTGAAGGGTGACATCAGGGCTGCTAGGGATTGAGAAAGGAAGCTGCAAGGTCACTGGGCAGTGTCCAGCATCTGGGGAATGGGGACAAGTGTTCGCATTTACTATCTTGATGTGTGTGTGTGTGTGTGTGTGTGTGTGTGTGTGTGTGTGTGTGTGCACGTGAGCTTCTAATAGCTGGACAGGGCAAGTGCAGGAGGTGCACAGAGACCAGGAGTTTATTGCAGGCCTCCAGGGAGACAGAAAGGCAGACTGTTATGGCCAGAGCTGTATGGAAAAGGGGCTCTGTGCTGAGCGAGCCTCACTGGGGAACTAGGGGCTGGGGAGGTTGCTGCTAAGTGAAGCTCCAAAGGGCCAGGGACTGGGGTGAGGAGCAAGCTCAGAGGCTGAGTCAGGGGCGAAGGCTAGGGTAGGGGGCAAAGACTGGATTTGAGCTGGGGCAGGGGAGAATGCTCAGTGGGGTCTGAAGGGCAGACCCAAGGGTGGGGCAGAAGCTAGGAACCCCCTCTGCACATGCCCCACCGACCTGGCATTATTTCTGCCATACTCCCACCCAGGAGCCCAGGGAGTCAGCTCAGACTCCAGCTAGAAGCCTGCAGCGTGTGGGCAGAGCCGGGCAGGCTCCAAGCTGTCTGTGGGAGCCACTCCCAGAACCCGGGCCTCATGCCACCTGGCTCCTGACACCCTACTCCCCAAAACACCCTGAGGCCCTCACTGTTCTGTGTTATAAACCTCTAGTGGGGGAAAAGGCATTGTTTAAACCTTGTTTTCAGGACCAAGTGATCTTGGACATCGACTTTCACCTCTCAGAACCTCAGTTTCCCCATCATACAGACAGGGATAACAAGCTGGATGTGGTGCTGTAATCCTAGCACTTGGAGAGCTGAAGGCAGGAGGATGACAGATTTAATGCCAGCCTGGACATAGCAAAATACCACTCCACCTCTTCTCTCCAAGAAAAGATTCATGCTGGGCCGTGGTAGCGCACACCTTTAATCCCAGCACTCTGGAGGCAGAGGCAGGCGGATCTCTGTGAGTTTGAGGCCAGCCTGGTCTAGAGAGCAGGTTCCAGGACAACCAGGAACACATAAAAACCCTGTCTCTAAAGAAAAAAAAAAAAAAAAAAAAAAAAAAGATTCATTATGGTAAAACCTAAAGTCACTGTTCAGGCAATGCAATGGCTGCTCCTTCCTGGAGCTTGAATGCTCACCCAGCCCCCACTTGACTTTGGAGTTTCTTATCTCCAGCCCAGCCAGCTTCAGGCTCACTACCAGCCTTCCTATGTGTACCTTGGGCTGTGCTCCTGTGTGAGCAACAGGTGGGACAGGGAACCAGCGGCGCAGGGCCTTGTGTCCTGGTCACTCTGCTAAGACTGGTCCTGTTCTCTGGACTCCTCTAGATCAACGCTGTGCCATGCAAGAGGTCGTTCTGAGCCTGCTGGTCCTCCTAGCAGGTGAGTGTCTGGCCACCAAACTGCCCTTTCCCCTAGGCCTCTCAGCTGGGTGGTGACGAGCTGTGTGCATGTGTGTGTGTATGGGTGTGCACACGTGCGTGCGTGTGCGTGTGTGTTCATGCATGTGTGGAATATGTGGTGTGTTTCCAGTGGGGAGATGCCATTAAATTTTCCGTGACAGCAAGCCGAGGGATCGGCCCAGTAATCTTGTGTGTCATGATTACTGTCATGGCCTCTCTACATCGCCTTCCTAGATGCATCTAGGAGCCTAGCAGTGATGGAGCAGATAACTGGAGTACCTCGTGCCTCAGTTTCCCCATCTCTGAAAACACAAGAACAGCACTTAGTCATAGTGGCTTTGTAAGGCTTCAATGCATGAATGTTTGAACAGCGTGAGACGGGGCCTGGGTGGAGTAATCTCAAGCATTCATGCCTCAAATATAATTAAGCATTGTTTTTGTCCCTGTAGCAGAACTCAGGCCCAGGCTGAAGCCAAGCAAGCTTTCTGCCAGGATTTAATCCTCACCCTGCGCTCGTGTTGTGGCTTCCCCTTCCTTCCTCCCTCTGCCTCTTTTGTGTGTGCATGACTGTGCGTGCTCGTGTGTGTGCAGCTGTGCGTGTGTGTGTGTGTGTGTGTGTGTGTGCGTGCATATGTGTGGGTGTGGCTGTGCCTGTGGCAGCCAGAGGACAACTTTGGCCATCATTTCTTAGGATTCAACCATCTTTTCTTGTATTTTATTAACTATTTTATATGTGTGGCTTTTGCCATTTGAGTGCTTGGCAACTGCGGAGGTCAGAAGAAGGTGTCAGGTCCCCCGGAACTGGAGTTACAGATGTTTGGGAACCATCATGTGGGTGCTGGGAACCGAACTTGGGTCTTCTGCAAGAGCAGTTGGAGTCATCTGTCTCCAGCTGCACCCAAACCTTTTTTTTTTAAACTACTTTTTACTTTAACATTCTTTGGGTACAAGTGGAATAGGGGTGTAAGAATTAATTGAAGTTGCCAACTGAGAGTCGTTTCAAAGGGGGTGGTCGGCAACCCCGATAATGGCGGGCTAGTACTGTAGAGGACTGGGGGCATCGCTGGTGTGGAGGAAACAGTCCTGGGAACAGAAACCATCTGCCACCTTGGAGAACAAAGCTTCTCCAGCAGGAGGCGTGGCCAGGCCGCGTGTCTGGAAACATTCACTCAGACAGAGGCCAAAACGTACCCAGAATAGGATCTGTTTCCGGTGGCAAAATGCTGGCATGACTCACAGCTGGGGGTGGGTGGGTGGGTGGGTGAAACAAAATCTCCATGTCCAGGTGGGACAAGCCAGCGGCTGAATCCTGTGCACTTCAGAGGTGGGGTTGTCTCCCCCCTCCCCCCAGAACATTTCCCTCAGGCAGCAAACTTCCACGGCTCTTCTAGGGCCACCATAGTCACCACTTGTTATTACTTGTTTCCACAGGCCTTCCTGCTCTAGATGCCAATGACCCTGAGGGTGAGTCAGAGCCCATCCCTCCAGCCCACTTACCCGAGACCCCTGCTATTGTCTCAGACTCATGTGTGTGTGCCCTTTCTCTTTGCAGATAAAAATAGTCCTTTCTACTACGGTAAGAACAGCATCCCTTTTTGCTTCTTCCCAATCCTACACATTATTTTGTATCAAGGGTCCCACACAAGGGTGCCTGACAGTTCACAGTGACCCAGGCATCAGGATAGGAGACGGTTTGAAATGGGTCACTGAGCATCCAGGCAGATTAAAGGAATCAGTTGTGAGGGGTAATGCAAGACAGACACGGGACTGAGTCCAGTCTGCAAGCTGCATTAGGTTCAGATCGACCTCCAGAAAGTTGGTCATGAAAATCTCCCCAAAGAAGGTAGGTAATTCTACCCCCCCTCTTCTCCACTTCCAGCTTCCACGGTGAGCTGCCCCTTGCCCCCTGCTCTCTCCTTCTCCACTGACCTTCACCCCTGCTCCAGCTATTGTCCTCAGATACAGAAGGCATCTGCCAATCACACGACCTATACACGTGCTTGTCCTTCTGCCTGGACCACTGTCTTCCATGTGTCTTCAGGGCCACTCTGTCTCCCTGCAGATCTCTGTTCCAATGGGGCCTCCTCAGAGAGCCTTGCTTGACAGTGCTCTCTAAAGACCCACATCTTGACTTTCTATCTTTCCCCCACACTGATGCTTTCTCTTCAGACGGCTTCTCTGCCCCTGAAGCATCTTGCTTGCTTGGATATGAACTGCAATGTGTGCACAACGGGGCTGGGGTTTTGCTTTTTCCCTTTTACTGCAGCGGAGTGAGTTGGGAGATAGATGTTGGGGGTAGAAGGGGCAGGGGAGCTAGCTTTGCTTTTTTCTCTGTTTCTCAGATTGGTACCGACTCAGAGTCGGCGGGCTGATCTGTGCAGGGATTCTCTGTGCTGTGGGCATCATCGTCCTTATGAGTGAGTACAGGAGCTTTGGGGAGGGGGGAGCGGAATGAACGGGGGAAGGGACAGGAGCTTTGGGAGGGGCGGAATGAATGGGGAAGGGACTGCGTGGTCCTTCCTCTGACCATATCCCTCTGCAACAGGTGGAAAGTGCAAGTGCAAGTTCAGACAGAAGCCCAGGTGAGATGGGTTCTGGGCATGCCCGAAAGGCTAAGCCTTGTGCAAAGAGAACAGGCCTGGGTACTCTGCCTTATGGTCTCTTGGGCTTTGTTTCACACAAATCATCCCCTAGAAGGCTTTGGTCCCTAGCTTTGTACAACCCTACAGGGAGAACCAGCCAAGAAAGTGTCTGGGCAAGCTGAGAATCCCTTAGCCCTGCAGGAGAGAACAAATAAGGGATTTATTTGTATGTTATCATTTTTATTTCCCTAGTCACCGCCCAGGGGACGGGCCGCCTCTCATCACACCAGGTAAGACACTCAGGGGATGATGGCAAGGGATGGGGTTAGGGTCACAAGTGGCAGTTGGAGAGGGATTATGCCTGCACTGGGGAGAAGGGGCTGGAGAGATCCTTGCAAACTGACCCCATCCCCCCACCAGGCTCTGCTCACAACTGCTGAAGATGGACCCGCTGACGAGCACAGAGCGCCTCTGAGCCCAGGTCCTGGTTTTGGAGGTGGCCTGAACTCTAAGATGACTGTCCCATCCTCTCCTGGCACTGCCTTGTCCGGGCCTCATTCTTACCTCTCTCATGGTAGCAGGCTCGTTGTTCAGTTTTTAATCTAAAATAATTTTACATTGTGCTCATGTGAGTTAGAGACTCTGTGTTCTGGAGTGTGGCTGTGGGCAGTTAGGAGGTGCGCGGATGTTGGAGTGGGCCTGGGGGGCCTTGATGATATGGGCACTTGTGTGCAGCAAGTGGCTGAATCTTGATTAGGCCTGCGTGTCATGACCTGATGGTGGACATGAGACGTCCCTCTCTGTCCAGCAGCCTCCTGTCCACTGGTCAACTAAGGACACTTCTGGGAGTGAAAAGGAGCCCTAATCACAAGCAGTGTCGTTGAGAATAACTAGGGTTATAAATAAATAGGGCCATCCTGCTATGCTGGGGCCACTCAGATAACTTAGTCCCACCTCCACCCCTGCAGTGGCCTTCCCGCTCATTCTGAGACCTCACTTTATCATGAGACCTTCCCATACACCAAGTGTCCCTATGTATACAGCGGTCACATAGAGTGAGACCCTCCACTGACCCCAGGTTTGTTTCTTTCTTTCTTTCTTTCTTTCTTTCTTTCTTTCTTTCTTTCTTTCTTTCTTTTTTTTTTTTTTTGGTTTTTCGAGACAGGGTTTCTCTGTGGTTTTGGAGCCTGTCCTGGAACTAGCTCTGTAGACCAGGCTGGTCTCGAACTCACAGAGATCCGCTTGCCTCTGCCTCCCGAGTGCTGGGATTAAAGGCGTACACCACCACCGCCCGGGTTGACCCCAGGTTTTTTTGAGACCCCCCAGCATCCTGATATCAGGGCCTCCAGAAAGATGTCATGTGACACCCTGGAAAATGCCTAAAACCTTTCAAAACAAAATTCTTGCCCAGGGTCCCATCCAGGACCTTCAACTGCCACTCAGCAACATTCACAAGACCTTCCTGCTGTGAGCCCGCAGACAGGGCAGGTCGTGGGGAGCACAGGGCATTTATTTCTGCTCTTGCCCCTGTCACATTCTGGGAACAGGGTGCCCAGGGCTTTCTCTAATACCCCCAGACTCATCATTACTGCTTCACCGTTTCTGCACACGCGTAAAAACAACAAGATGCCAGCAGTCAGTCTTTGGCACCAGACGTGCCTACATGCAGCAAAGTACCAGGCCCAGAAACTGCCCAGCAGCTGTGATGTCACTGAATTCACAGACATACATACTCCTCCACTAAAGCCAATGGCCAGATTGGGTTTGAGTGGAAAAGAAAGCTTTCTTTCGGTACTTTATATGGAGCAAGACCAAGGGATCATTGAGGGCAGAATATTTAGACCTCTTGGAGCTCAGCAGATTGCCCTTTTGGTTTTCTGTATCCCAGCTCCCTGCTGTGTCCCAGGCTGAGCACCCAAGTCATTGTCTGTGGGAGCATCTGTCCTCAGTCAAAATGTGGCCTCAGACTGCATGGGATCCAAACGTTGTTGGGAGCAGAGAGACCTCTTTTCATTTGCCCCTAAGCTGCAGATCCTCCAGAGTGTGGGCTAAGCCTGACCCAGGCTGATGCATTTGGATAGTGAGTGGTCTGTATCATATACCCAGAGGGTACCCCGATGTCGCAGGACGCCCTTGCCAGCCCCTCAACCACTTCCGGGGTTCTGCCCAGCCTCAGGCACTGAGATCCAGCTCATGGTGCTGGTAGATCTGCGTGGGGCCCTTGAAGCACGCTGCGAATAGAAAGCGTCTTCCCGCCACGGTGACTTGGGCAAAGGCTCGGGGGGCTACCAAGGCCGGGGGACCCAGTTCCTGTAGCGGCTCCAAGATCCCTTTGTCAGGCTCAAGGCGGAAGACCTGGCTGAAGGCGAAGTCGCTGCCCAGGATGGCCAACTGGTCTCGGGCGATTAGCATTGGCTGGAAGACATGGGAACCTCGAGATGGAAGCTGCTGTACCAGGCGGAACATGGAGCCATCCCAGCGCATGACCTGCAAGGTGTGGAATCTAGTTAGAGCTTGGGTCAAGAGGCGCTGGGCATGCCCGTCATCCTCAAGGCTCTGGAGGACTTGCAACATGAGCCTGTGGGTCCTCAGTTTCTCTGTAGATTTTTTTTTGAGACTTGCTGGCAGTAACTGACTGTCTCAAACCTTCCTAGTAGTGAGGCGACAGGCCTGTGACACCAACACTGTGCCAACAGCTTCCTTAATATATAGATAACATTCACCTTCTCAGAGCAGATAATTAATTGTTCTAGACCTTTCTTTCTCCCTTGCATGCTACAGAGTGCCCAGCAAGGGTCTATTGATCTTACTGTCATGCGTTACATTTATCCAATCTGTTCTGGCTGCATCCTGACCCAGCTTCTAGTCTCCTACTCGTCCCTGACTCCTGTTCTTATCTCCACTGTTTTCCCTTGGAGACCCCTCAAATAACTGAGTTGGGGGGGTCTGTCCCCGACTGTACCTCATTCTGAAAAGAGAATCCTGGAGACAGTGAGCGGGGCCTAACACCAGCTCAACCTTGAGGGGGTAGTCTCCCAATGGGCAGGGTGTGGTTGGAGTTAACTGTCATCCTGGAATGTTCTAGCGTTACAGAGCCAAGCTTAGCAGAGGAGAACAAGCTTAGCAGAGCAGATCATGTTGGCACATTCCTGTTACAACAGCACAGGGCTGAACCACGAGATTGAGGCCAGCCTGGACTGCATGTTAAGACCCTATCTGATTCTCTGCCTCGGCCTCTAGTTCATCAGTTGAGGGTCGGGAGTGCAGCTCCGTGGTAGAGCTTATGCCTGGAATCCACTAGAAAGGGGCTGGGGGTGTGGCTTGCTTGCCTAGAATTCGTCAGGGATTGGTTGTGGGTGAGGCTCAGTGGTAGAACCCATGCCTGGAATTCACCCCGAGGGGCTGTGCTGAAATAGCGGTCCAGCCCCCTGTCAACTGCTGTGATCAGGCCTGGACCCCACTGCCTGCCCCCAGTCTCACCATAGAGTCCCCAATGTATCGTGTCAGGCAGAGGAACACATCTCCACCGGCCTGAAAGTGTTTCGTGGCATAGACATCTTCGGCCTCTGGGATGTCTGTGCGCCTTTCGAAGCGGCCACCAAACCAGTGGAAGAGCACTGGCCTCTGGGAGGCTGAAGCAAGCAGCAGATGCGGTCGGCCATCCAGCTCCAGGACCTCAGCGTCGGTGTCGCGGTGCCAGGCGTGCAGGCTCTGGCGTGGGTAGAAGCCGGACCCGTCTCGGCACAGCAGGGTGGTGCTACCAGCTTTGGAGGCATCAGCCACCACGAAGCAGGGCTGCCCATCCAACCACAGGAGTTCGGCATCATTGGGTCGCAGTAGGCGTTGAGGGGCTAGGACCTGTATTGGGGCCAGATGCAGGTCGGCGCTGGGCCGAGACCACAGATATGAGCCTCCCCACAAACGGGCAGCCAGTATGAAGAGGCGTGGGCCCAGCACCAGAGGTTTGCAGGACACCACGGAGGGCGCTGTAGGGAGAGTGGGACACAGTCAGGCTCAGTGGCAATCTGGGGACAGGAGGGAAGGGGCCAGGAGAGGAGGGGAGCTCACCAGACACCTCTTCCTCTGTCCGGAAGCGGTGCACGCTGTAGTCCCAGACCAGGATCAAGCAGCGGCCAGCAAAGGGCTGTGCCAGGATCACGTGAGGTTCCCCCTGATAGGAGAAGGACTCCACGCTCAGTGCCGACTCCCCAACAGTCTGGAGCCAGGACAGTTCTAGAGGCAGCAAGAGAGTCAGGGGTGCCTGGGAGTGGGGAGGAGACCTCATTGCTGAGCCTTGGTTAGCACGTTTTTGAAAAGAGACTTCACAGAGTTTACCACATAGGGACCTACAGAATGGAACCTTTTTGTCTATAGATGTGTTAACTCTCAGAAACATGAACATCTTTTTTTCAAGGCCGTGTGGCATCATCAATCCCTTGGAAACTGTCTTAGACAGATGTTATAGGACACGCTTGTGATCGCAGCCTTGAGGAAGCTGAGGCAGGAGGATCTCTGGTTGCTGGCCAGTCTGGGCTAACAATATAATGCAAGCAAAAATAACATGCTATATATTGTGATCCTGTTTCAAAAACAGAAAACAAATCAAACAGCACATTTAGTTACTCAATTAACTCCACAGCAATCCCGTGAGCTACACTCTGTTACCACGAGAACTTGAGGATAAGTGGCCTGGGCAGCCAGCTAGCCAATGACATTCATTCTCCCCAGCTGGAGCTGGGACATAGAAGACAGGCCTGTCAGCACAGCTATTCAGAAGAATGAGCCAGGATGATTGAAAGTTCAAGGCCTGTCGGGGATGCAAGAGTTCAGGATAGTCTCTGCAACTTAATAGCAGACACTATCTCAAAATCAAAAGCAGTAAAAAGAGGGCTGGGATGTATGTGGCTCAGTGGTAGAGCCCCTGCCTAGAATCCCCCAGTGAGGGGCTGGGGTGTGGCTCAGTGGCAGAATGCTTGCCTAACATGTGAAAGATTTAATCCCTAGTAACACACACACGCACGTGCAACACACAGACGCACAAACACAGAGAGACACACACACACACACACCACTTTTTCCATGAAGCATGGAGATGACCATCAGGCAGCCCCACCAGAATGTTCCAGCACCCCTGCTAACACGCTCCCCAGATATCATGATCAAGTTCACAACGGACAAGAAGTGCGACATTCACATCACTGTGTGAACGTGTCCTGGATCTGGCCTCTTTCAATCCGTTTTTCCCATACCCCAAATCACACAGTGTGTCACAACCTGGTCTGAACCATAAAAACAAGGCAGCAGCTAGGGGCTACCCCACTCATGCAGAAGATGGGTTACCTGCTCCCACTTGTGGTGGTTTTTTTTTTTTTTTTGATTTTTCGAGATAGGGTTTCTCCGTAGCTTTTGGTTCCTGTCCTGGAACTAGCTCTGGTAGACCAGGCTGGCCTCGAACTCACAGATATCCGCCTGCCTCTGCCTCCCGAATGCTGGGATTAAAGGCGTGCGCCACCACCACCCAGCTCCCCACTTGTGTTTTTATGTGTACAGATGCATGACACGTGCCTGGGGGCCAGAGGGCAAGTGTGAGAGTTGGTTCTCTCCTTCCATCAAATGGGTTCTGGGGATTGAACCCAGGTCACCAGGCTTGGTGATAAGTGCCCTTACCCACTGAGCCATCTCACCAGCCCAGGAATCTCTTTATTTCACTCTCCAGGTTGTCAGTGAGAGACCCAGGCTGTAACTCCATCGGCGGTGTGCCACCCTATATGCCAGGCCCTGTTCCTAGGTAGCAAGGTTGGAATAATAAGCTAAAACCGAGGATGTCCAACAAAGGAATCTTTGTTTTTAGGTAGGCCTTTACCATGTAACCTACACTGGCCTCAAGTTTATAATCCCCCAGCCTCAGCCATTCCAGTGCTGGGATTGAAGGCATGCGCTACCATGCCCTGAAGAATCTTTGAAAACTCAGAGTCCTTTAAATCAGCTCTTCCTGGGCTGGGGAGATGGCTCAGGACACTTGCCACCAAGTCTGATGGAGCTGAGTTCAGCCCCAGAACCCATATGGTACAATGAGAGAATCAGTTCCCGCTTGTCCTCTGATCTCCGCATGTGTGCCATGGTACACATGGGGCCACTACTCCCTCACACACATATTTTGAAACAAACAAAGCCGGTTGGTGGTAGTGTATGCCTTTCATCCCAGCACTGAGGGAGGCAGAGGCAGGTGGGTCTCCGTGAGTTTGAGGCCAATCTGGTCTATAGAGTGAGTTCCAGGATAGCCAGGGCTACATAGAGAAACCCTGTTTCAAAAAGCAACAACAAAAAAACTGCAAACAAAACCCTATAACTGGTGTTTGCACCCTTCCTTGGCTTCCCTGGTCCCGGCTCCGGGCTTCCTCAGATGCTAATTTCTTCTCCAGTCCTGACCTCCTCACTCCTACCCCGGACTCTGCCTGTTCCTCCCAACTCTGTTCCTACCCCCTGTCTGTGTCTTCTCATTTTGGGGGAAGCATCCCGGACTGTGTGGGATTGCCTGACTTCTGTCACCTCAGGAAGGGTGAGATCCAGGGCCACTCATCTCCTGGTCCTTCTGCATGACCCAGAACTCAGAAAATGTCACGATATATTCTATATATTCGTGAAAGAGCTAAAAGAAGACAAGCTCCAGGGAGGAGGGATGTACCTGCAGCTACCAGGACCGAACAGGTGCATAAGAGGGACATTTAAAGGCCTCCTCTTAACAAGACCAGCAAAGACTCACAAAATGGTTGCAAGCCAGGCATAGAGCTGCACACCTGTCTTCCGTACTGGGGAGGCTGAGACCAGAGGATTGCTACAAGTTTGAGGCCAGCTCTGGCTACATAGTGAAACTTTGTCTCAGAAAACAAATCAAAAATAGCTACAAACAAGGACATGAGAGATGGCTCAGGTTAGGAGCGCTTGCTGCTCTTGCAGAGAACTGGAGTCCCGGTTCCCAGCTCCCGTGTAGGACAGTTTACAACGCCTTTAACTCCAATTCCAGGGAATCCCACATTTGCACTTGAATGCACTTTCCATACACACACAGATACACATACATATTGCAACAACAACAATTATAATAATATAAAAGTCTCTTGTCCCGGGACCGGCATCAGAAACTGTGCCCACAGAAGGTGGAGGAGGCAGAAGAGTCGCAAGTTCAGCGCCAGCCTTGTTGGTGAACTGAGAGCCTGTCAAAAAGGAAAGAGAAATACTGCCCAGCGTTCAGTCCTCACAGAGATCTGGGATCACTGGATATATCCCTGCTTTACAAGTGAGGAAACCGAGGCTCAGGGAGGATAACGCCTCAGCCCTGTGGCTGCCCCCCTTTCTCCCTGATTTCCGCTCTTCTTTGGAGGCCCTGTTGTCCCTCCCACCGCTGAGGAGTTTGGGAGGGGACAGGAAGACTTCACCTGTAGCCCTGCACTTGAACTTCTTCGGGTCAAGGTGGTTGAGTTGCATTTGGGCAAGGGCAGAGGGGCCTGCACAGGCCCCCAGGCCCACGCTGGCATTCACCGTAGGCACCCACTGAAGCAGCCAAAGTACTCGGCAGTCACACTGAAATGGGTTCCCACGGAGGTCCCTGGGGCGAGAAGCCAGGAAGAAGCTGTGACCCAGTGTCCCTGGCTTAGAGGCTGAGAAACCTTCTCAAGTGAGGGTCTAGGATGGCACCCTCAGGTGACAGAAAAGTTCAGGCGAAGCACACTGGCAAAGCAAGCCCAAGGAGGCCCACCTCTCCCTCCCTATCAACATTCCCAGGCCCCGCCCTCTGCCCTCCCCGAGCCTGAGCTCACACATGAGTCAGAGTCTCCAGGCCTCGGAACAGGAATCTGGGGAGAGCCTCGAGGTGGTTGTTGGCCAGGCTTCTGATGGAGCAGGAGAAGAAAGAGTGTCAGCTGTGGCCAGGAGATGCTATGACCTTGAGGGATGGGTCGGGTGCCTATGGTGGAGGACTGGGCTGTGGAGATACACACAGGTGTGTGAGCGAGCGGAGTCCTCTCAGGGCATTCTTGGAGATGGAGCCAATCTTGTTGTCCTCTATGAAGCTGTGGAAAGAGGGTGGAGTGAGGGAGAGGCCCCCAGTGCTGGAGAAACCGGCCCTAGGAAACCACTGGAAGGGCTTCTTTCTCCTCCCTCACCTAGAATGACCACAAGGAAACCATTCTTCACCAGGCTGCTCTCACAGGAGCCAAGGTCTTGGCTCTATGGTCACCGACAAGCTTATCATAAGTATGGCTACCACCATCACCCTGGCACCAGTGGCACCAACATGTGTGCCTCTCTTATCATCACTGAACTCGGCATCAGCAGCTGCCGTTAACCCCAGAACCATGCTAGTCATCTCCACCCACTTCCAGCAACACCTCACCACCTTCCATTAGCACCCATTGCCAACCCCGCACCAACATCACACCTTCATGACCAGAAGCAAAACTGTCGCCATGACGCCACCGCTGCCACCATTGTACAAACCTCAGCTGGTACCAACGGCATCACCATCACCACCAACATTCTCACCACTCACCACCACCCCCAGGATGTTTTTTTTTTTTTTTTCATGAAAAGCAGCCGCTTCATCATCATTGGTAAACCCAGAGCCAACACCACCATCAAAACTGACAACAGGGCTGGGGCATGACTCAACAGGTAAAGGCGGTTGCCACCATGGCAACCCAAGTTCAATCCCTGGGACCCATGTGGTGGAGGAGAGGCTCTGTTCCCACAAATTCTTGTCTGACTTCATATATGGGCCATCGAGTATGCACTGTCACCTCACCCCTCCAAATAAATGCAACAGTTTTTAAAAACATGGCACCTGGGCTGAGGTGTGCCTCAGAGATAGGATGCTTACTTAGAATACCCCAGAAAAGGGCTGGGCATGTGTTTTGGCTTGGTGGTAGAGCCTCTGCCTAGAGTCTCCCAGGGAGGGGCTGGGGTGTGTGGCTCAGTAGTAGAGCTCCTGCCTAAAATCCCTCAGTGAGGAGTTAAGAACTACTTTCCTAGCATGCCTGACAGACCCCAGTTTTCAAAACAAACAAACAAATAGAAAATACAAAACTAGAAAACCCCCACCAACATTCTACCCATTGCTGTGACCAACATCAACACACACCATAAGCACGGGCCCCTACACTGACAATCATCACAAACACCAGTCCCACACACCTTATACATAGCCCCAATAACACCAACACTATTACTGCAGCCATTTTGGTCATCAGCCCTCTTACTCTTTTGGCAGTAATATAATTGTCACTGAAAGAGAGATAAGGCCATGTGGCAGAATGTAGATGATTAGAAATGGGTTAACTTAAGTCGTAAGAGCTAGTTAGTAACAAGCCTGAGCTATTGGCTGACCATTTATAATTTATATTAAGTCTCTGTGTTGGTTATTTGGGAATGGTGGGCAGGACAGTCCATCTACAATCACATCCCTTTCATTTGTTACAGGGGACACCCCCTATGTCCCATCATCCACAGCAGCATTACCACACGGCCAGGGGCACTGCAAACCTATCATACAGCCGTGCCCTCCAGCAACCTGACTCCTGCACACTGGCACTGCCACCCACACTGTCACATGGTCACTGCATAGCTTCAAGTGGCTTCTGGGTCATTTAAAATGTTTCCTGGCTCTGACCTCTTTGTATACACTTTCCTAGAATCCCCCTGCATCAGAACAACTGAGTCCCTTTGCTACCTAGACCCTTTGCTAATTCTTGGTTTCCAAGACTGGGACTGAAACCTGGGGTTTCACACATGCTAAGCAAATATCTACCCCCAAGATGTATCCCTAGTTTTTTACTTTATTATATTTTAATTATTTCTTATTATGAGACAGGGTCTCGCTGGGTTGCTCAGGTTAGCCTTGAACTCACTCTGTAGTCCAAGCAGGCCGTGAATTAGCCATCCTCCTGCCTCAGCCTCTTGAATAGCTGTGATTACAGGCCTGAGCCACCAGGCCCAGCTTCCATTGTGAATCTTAAAGAACACAGAGGTGGGATTCAGTTCTGACCAGTAGCCCCTGAGCTGTCCACACTGCATCCTTCCTCCTATGGACCTGCCATTGGCCAGATGCCCCCTTCCCCAGGCAACCTCCTTTTGTCTTCTTACACTGGGAGTCACTGAGAGGCTCACTGCCCCTCCAGACCCACTTCCCCAGTCTCTGGCTATACTCACAGGTACTGAAGGTAGGACAGGCCGATGAAGGCATCGTCCTCAATCACGGAGAAGGTATTGGATGTGAAAAGCCTGGCAAGAGGGCAAGGCAGATGTTTTCCGAGTTGCAAACCAGTATCTATGGCTGTACCCTTAACCTCCATCCAATTCAAAGACACACATGCAAGTGTGGGCGTATGTGAATGGACACAGATGCTTCCATAAGTACACCCAATGTACACGTGTCCTCACAGGTGTCTGAGCACTCCCCATGAATGTCCACGTGCATGAGCATGCATGAGATGCATGCACACACACACACACACACACACACACACACACATGCACGCACGCATCTCCACACACACAGGAACAGCCATTCCCTTGAGCAGAGAGTCGTGGGCCCAGCCAGGACATACTCACAGGAGGTGCAATGATGGCATCTTCATGAAGCTGCCAGCCTTCAGCTGGGAGACCCCCATCCTGACAAGGGATCTGGGGGCATGAGATCAGTGAGCAGGAAGCCATTTCAGCTTCCCTCTCTAAAGTCAGAGGTCTTGGCTGCTCTGGAGGCCCTGGTCTCCCGTGTTGAGCCTGGGGTGCCTCCTACCACCCTCTATCTCTGCCCTCTGCCATTCCCTCCACACATATACAAGGTCCTTGGCAGTACTCAGCCCCAGGATACCGCACTTGCAGTGTTCTCATTGTTCCCACTGCCCTTTGGGACACCTCCAATCGGCACCTTTCCAAATCTCAGCATCCCTCTTTCAGACATCCCAGAATTCTTTGGTATCCAAGATTCTGAGAGAGACCCCCAACCTCCTACCCCAAGCCGTGTAGTTCCAGGTCTCCTCCTTCCCTTTAGGCCCGCAGAGGGCCCGGCACTCACAGTGACAGGAGCGTGGTGGAGAAGCTCTCGGGCAGCTCGCTGGAGCCCTCACACAGAGTACTTTCCTTGGAGCAGGAACAGCGTGGAGGACACTTTCCTTTGGGGGGACTCCAGGCCACTCCTGCCCCAGCTCCGGCCAACAGCAACAACAGAATGCCTGCCCCTCCCATGCCCCCGGCCCCTGCCCAGGCTCCCACCGACCCTAGTCCGCCAGACCCGGACCGCTACATCTTTGTAGGATGCTCCTCCACCCTGCTGCTGACCATGCTGCCTGTGACTGCCTCGCCTTGTGCTTTCTCTCGGTCCCTTCCCTGGGGACTCCCTGTATCGGAGTGTGGGATTCTCTGTCACTAGCTTTCTCTCCCTATCTTTCTATTACTCTATTTTCCACCCCTGCAATCTCTTGTCTATTTCTATCTTTGTCTCTCTGTGTCTCTGATTTGGCCTCTAGAACTCTGGTGTGTGTGTGTGTGTGTGTGTGTGTGTGTGTGTGTGTGTGTGTCTGTCTGTCTGTCCTGGTCCTTCTGCCTGATGTCCGTAACTCTCACCTCCCTGCCCTGTTTCAAGTTTCCATTACTTTCTGTGTGTCCTCCCACACTCTTGTCCCACTTGCTGTGGCCTGGGATGCGCCCAGCAGAAGGGTAGGAAGGAGGGGGTCAGAGGCCATAGGAAGAAAAGGCTCAGGGAAGGGACTGAATGGCCTTTGAGGGGGCGGGGCTGCCAAGAGCTTGAGCCAGCCTAGGCACTCCCAACCAACCCCCTCATCAGAGTCCCTACTCAACCCCAGTTGGGGAGAGTGGGAAGGATGTCCCCAGGGTGGAGACCAGATGGCTCTGCGGACTGCAGATGGGAGGGGCTAGGAGGAGAAGTCCCTGGGGGATGGGGGATATTCTAGCTGTCCCACCAGCCCCTTTTCCTAAAGGGTGTGGTCACCAAAGCTTCACCAGGCCAGTACTGGTCTGGCTGCTCCCCCTGGTGGTCAGCTTTGGCAGGACTGCTGCCCTACCCCAAAGTCAGAGCTCCCTCTAGGTCCCTGGGATTAACTCTATGTGATCCAAGACTGAAAGCAAGAACCAAGGTGATGGCGCCACCTCTCTTTTCCACGTCAGATCTATCGAGCTTTGTCCTAAAACGTGGCTACCAGCGTTCTACTCTTCCCATGACCCCCAGGCCAGTGTCATTTGCATGACCAATTGACAACTGAAGAAAGGCCAGGTCAGGGGCTCAGGGTGGCTGGCCCCAGGGGAGGCAGAGCAGGATGCAAACCCAGGAAGCCGGCTCCAGGGCCCTCGTGTTATTATGTGTGCTTTCTTTGGAGGCTGAGATGTGCGGACATATGTACAACCGGGTATTGTCACCTGTGCTAAGCTTTTAGAAACTGAGACAGATTCTCTCCATTAAATGAGAAAAATATGTAAATCACACAGAACCCAACCTAAGGTCCTGGTGGGACGTCCCTCCCATGCCCCTCAAGCTATATGCCAGTCTTTTATGTTTGCTTACTTGTTTTGAGACCGGCCTGGGACTTATTTTGTAGTCCAGGATGCCCTCAAATGCATACTTCTCCTGGCTTCGCCTCCCAAGTGCTGGGATGACAGATGGGCGCCACCATGCTCAACTGTGTGCCAGCTTTTACACGTGTTAGCTCATTGACGTCACAGCAGCTCTGTGAAGTGGGGAGGTTGGTCAGTACTGTTCCTGCTTTACAATCCCTGCTCCAAAATGGGGAAACCGAGGCACGAGACTTTCAGATGATTAGCTTCACAGGGCCAGTTATATCTAGCTTAGTAGAAACAACCACTTAGTTGCCTGAGGGCAAAAGGTTGAGGAACATCAAGCTTCTTGCCACTAAGATGCCCTGGAGTACTGGAGCCAAACAGATCCTGGGTCCAGCCCAGGCTGTGTTGCCTCAGTCAAGTTACTCAACCTCTCTGCTCCTCATTTGTCAATGGGATTATTCATGCCATCTATGCCCCTACTGAGGAGACTGCTCTCAGTGGGCTAACAAAACAATGAAACAGCTCTGGTCTCTGGGGTTCAGGCAGGCGTGGGGGCAATTATTCTAGACAGGGCCTCACATAACTCAGGCTGTCCATGGATGACCTTGATCTCCCAACCCTCCTGCTTCCTCCTCTGGGAATCAGCCTGTGTGCTCACTCCCAGGTGTGGTCACTCCTCCAGTGCTGAGGACTGTGCCCAGGAACCGTGAGAACTAAGGAAGCACTCTGCTAACCCGAGCCACATCCTCAGTCCTACAGGAGAGTGCACTAAGAAAGGCTCAGAGTGGCTGGCACACGGTATCTGCAGCTCTCAGAGTGGCGGGCACACCTATGTCTGCAGATCTCAGAGTGGGGGGCACACATGTGTCTGCAGATCTCAGAGTGGGGGGCACACATGTGTCTGCAGATCTCAGAGTGGGGGGCACACTCGTATCCGCAGCTTCTCAGAGTGGCGGGCACACCGCATGTGTCTGCAGCACTCAGAAGGGGAAGGCAGGAGGATCCTGGTTGGAGACTAGTCTAGGCTACATAGTGAGTTCAGGCCAACCTGGGTATGTGAAATAAGAGCCTGTCTCAAACAAACAAACAAACAAACAAACAAACAAACAGAAGAGAGCAATTTAAAAGTTTCTGCTAGGAATCCAAAGGGGACAGTGGCAAGCCTGAACCATTCTGGCAGGTTCTCCCTCCGGCACATCACGAGAAAGACGGCTTTTACAGCGAAGACAGGGGTAACTTGGTAAAAACCAACATTTACCATGTGCACCGGCCTTGCAGGACACGCACCAGTTTTCACTGCTTCGTGTGGACTGTTCTAGATAATCACACCGCCTCCCTCTGTGGGGGAATCCTGCTGTTCTTTCCATTTTACAGAAGGGACAACTGAGCCTCAGACAGGCTGCCACCATTGTAGCATCACACAGCAACAAAGGATAGAAAGGACAGAGCTGTTCTGTCCTGGGGCACTGAGCACTTCAGAGCCACTCTGTAACCAAGAGAAGCTAGGCAGGCAGGTTGACTGCCCCCCCGCCCCAACACCCTCACGGTGTTGTGTAAACATGGGGGTTATCTGTAACCAGGGATGCTGGGACAGCCTGGGTAGAAGGAGGCTGTGAGACCTCGGAATATATGAAGCTAGGCTGGGTCCGTGACAGGGCTAAGCTCCTGTCTGTAGAGCACAGGGTCAGGGCTGCTGTTTGCCTGAGGCTGGGGACATTTCTACCAGCAGGGAGGCATAAGGAAAATCAATTATCTAGACCTCAGTTTACCAGTCTCTAAAATGGAGATGACAAGAAAAAAAAAATCAAGTTCGTGGCCCTCTGAGCCTGGCCAGGAGTTGCAGGTATGTCAGAGGCTTCTCCATTCTGTAGCCCAAGACAGCCAAGCAACAGTGAGGTCTCAAGAGCTTCCCAAGGTCAAAGGTCATACAGCAAGGAGTTTTGAACCCATGCCTGCCCCCCCCCCCCTACAGCGCCAGTTTCTCTGTCTCTAGGGCCGTGAAGCTATCTGGCCTGTGAAGATGTCGAAAGTGTTTTCCCCATGGCACCATCAGGATTACATGAGCTCAGGGAACGGGAAGTTCAAGATCAAGTGCATGTCTGTGGCTTTGGAGCATGTGGCCCTGCGTGTCTGTGACTGTATAGACTGTGACACGCCCACGGGTCATCTGTGACCGTATATACCACTCGTCTGTGCACAGTGTGTGGGCTGGAGATGGCAGTATGGAAAAGGAGCCCCCATTATCAATACGCTGGTGTGCCCACATTCCTATGGACTGCTTGAGTTCACGGCCCTCATCTCCTTGTGGTGTGGGAACAGAAGTGCTGGGTGTGAGTCTGTCTTTGAATGTGTTCCTGTGGGCTGTGTGCGATAGTGTGCAGTTGTGTGTAAGAGTAGTCAGAGGCACGGCAATGTCCTTTTTATGAGAAGGAGTGTGTGTCTCTCTGTGTCGCTCTTTCTGTAGCTCACTCTGCAGGCCAGGCTGACCTTGAACTCCTGATCTTCCTGCCTCTGCTTCCTGAGTGTACTACCAGACCCATCAAGTGGTTAGATCCTGGCTGTATCTGCCCAGCCCAGATACCCAAGTGTGTGTGTGTGTGTGTGTGTGTGTGTGTGTGTGTGTGTACAGATAAGCTGTTGTGTGTACAAATATGCTGGCCACGCTTTGGGTCTAGTGTTAGAGGGCTAGCGAGCTAGCTAGTTGTCTGTGACTTTGGTGTAAGTGTGTGTATTACTCCTGGTGAATCTGAGTCAACAACACACAATACACATACAAAATCGAAGCACCACACATTTAAAATAAAAAGCTACTTATCAAAGGCTGGCAGAACACTGGGTCAGAGGTCAGTGCCCTCGTAAGCACTTAGGTTGTGTGACCTTAGGCCCCAGCTGGGCCAATTCCCAGGAATCCTAGCAGAAAACATTCTCTGACTTTGGTCTAGAAGCAGGCTTGTATTTGTGTTGTGGTGTGTGTGTGTGTGTGTGTGTGTGTGTGTGCACACGCTCGCGCGCACACACACACACTTGGCAGTCCACATGCGGCCACATGCTGCTCCCAGGCTGTGCTGAGAGAGTTAATCTAGCGGGCCAGGGCGGTCTGGGCTGGGGGCCGCCCCCTGGCCCCCCTCCAGCCTGGGCTCCAGTTTCAGTTGCTAGTTGGGGAGGGCAAGAGTGGGGTGGGGCCAGGAGGGAAGCCTGCAGGGGTGGAGCGTCCAGTTCTGGGCTAGGGGGTCTAAAGTGCTTAGCTCCCAGGGTACACAGCTGGACATTTGGGGGTCTCCTGTCAGCAGGGACAGCGTGAATGGGGTGAGCATCGCCCAGCCCTCCCTCCAGGCCTCTCTGCTCCCCTAGTTGGGAGGCCTATTTTGGGAACAAGAGTGGCCAGCCTGTGGCTTCTCAGGCAGGCCTGACCCAAGAGGGAGGAGAACATGGGGACGGGTTGCACGGGGCGGGAGAGCCGGTGACTCCTCCCTTTTTCAGTGGCTGCTGTGTGAGACCCCTGGCTGGGGTTGAGGCTTGGGTATTCATTTGTGTAGGTCTGTTTCTGTCACTGTTTGGGGCCCAGAGGGCCCGGAGGAATATGCGCTTATGTCTACACCCTGTATTCCTCCAATCAGCAGTTTGGGGAGAGGGTGTTGTCTGACTCCATTCCAGCCACACCTGTTCTTGGTGTGTGTATGGGTGTGTGTGCACCCACATATAAGTGTGTGTGTGTGCTCATATGTGTCCCCAAACCAGACATCTAACTTCTCTCAGGCCCACTAGCACGGACCTCTTGTCACTCACTTGCCTAATGTTGTCTTGTTATGAAAGATGTCATCCAGGGGAGGGCCAAAGGAGGGGCACTGTCCCCTTTTCTCACAGCTTCCAGGAAAGGAGATGGGGTGGCCTGTGGGGATGGGGCTCCTGGCTGAGCCTCACCCCAGCAGCGTTATACAGGACCCCCCGAGTCTTCAGGAGGGGGGGTCTGTTGCCATGGTGGCCTGTGTGTCACGAATTCCTCCAGGGTGAAGTGGGAGATATTTATACCCAGGGTCAGGGAGAGAGCGGGCAGGCAGCCGAGGGAAGGAGAGCGGGGACTGTCAGGGTCCAGAGAGACCACTGGCTGAGGTGTAAAGGGGCAGGTGGGCCCTGGCGTGTCCTGTTGTCTGTTTCCGCCTGTGTCCAGAGGCAGCTTGCTTCCCTTACAAGGGTAGGTTTGGGGACTCTGGGACCAACAGTTGGTGGGGGTGGCCCGCGGGAGGCTGCCCGAGGGCTGTGTGTCTCCCCACCCTGCCTTGATGCTGTGTGTGCTGTGTGGCCTTTCTCCTGATCCCCATATGGAGTTGTTTCAGTGACATGATTCCTGTGAAGCTGGGGAGCCCCTGCTTCTCGGGGAACTAAGTTGAATGGCTGACACTCCTCCCTCAAGTCCTTCGGCTGTCCTTGACCTAACCTGTGGGTTCAGGCCCTTCCTAGGAGGGGAGGTGAGCAGGGCAGAGGACATTTCTTGACCCTGGCTGACTCCTTAGGGCAATGGCATCTCCCAGCCACATCCTGGCTCTCTGCGTGTGTCTCCTCAGCATGGCCAGTGCAGGTGAGTCCTAAGGAGATGCCCTCTGCCTCAGCCCTGTGGGTGTCAGAGGGAGGAGAAGGCTCCTGAGAAAACCAGGTGGGAGACCCCAAACTAAAGGAATCGTGGAACTGGAAATCAAGCATCACCACAGAGGCTCTGGTCATGGCTGGCGTGTGGGGGAGAGAGGAGGATACCCGAGTTACACAGAACAGGGAGTGGATAGAAGCTGGGTCTCTGGTTGACGGAAGCATGAACAACCTGTAAGATATCAGGGTACTGGGTCACCGCAGAAGGTTGCTAGGATACAGAATAGAGTGGCAGTCTGCCTGTGGTCCTGTAGCGCCCAAACTCCCAGCCCAAGAAGGTCGGTAGAGCCCCCAGAGGGTCCTGTTATGCTTCTCCCAGTCACCGACTCCAGGAGATACTCAAACGTTCATTTTTATTTTTATCTCTAGAAGGTCCACAGGAACCGGATCCATTCACCTATGGTGAGGAAAGCTACTATGGGGTTTGGAGAGAGGGACTGGGTGTTTCCATGCTCTCTCTCTGTCTCTCTCTCTCTCTGTCTCTCTCTGTCTCTGTCTCTCTTTCATTCTTCGCTTTCTCCTGCCCTGCTTGTCTTAGACTCCTTTGCCTGTCTTTTGATATCCTTGTCTCATTTGTACTGGTTTCTCAGCATCAGGGGCCCCATCCTCTACTGCCTCCACTTTTCGTGACATCCTCCTCTCCAACCTTCCCTTTTCTGGCTAGCCCCCCCTTCTTCCTCTCTCCCTCTCTCCCTCTTTCCTCTGCCCTACCCTTTCCTTTCACACATCTGCTCCTTCTCTTCTCTCACACATCTGTCCTTCCCTTTCCCCTCCTCTCTTTCCCTTTGCCCTGCATACTCTTCCCCATTGGACCCCTCTTCCCCTACGGTCGGGGCTATCCACAGATTACCACACACTGAGGATTGGCGGCCTCACCATCGCTGGGATCCTCTTCATCCTGGGCATCCTTATCATCCTCAGTGAGTGTCTGCACCTGCATTCTCAACCCCGCCTCCAGACTTCCCTCCCCAAGCCCGCCCCCGACAACGCTCACAACTTGTCCTACCCACTCAGGCTCAGCCTTCAACCACATCTCTCACGTCCCACCCCGACTCCAGCCTCGCCCCACACAGACCACACCCCACTTTAAGCCACGCCCTTCGTCTCCCGCCCCATCGTTCAAGACCACGCCCCCACACCCTACCCTTCCTCCAGCCCCGCCCCACGCCCCACCCCCGCGGTCTCCCGAGTTTGGAGGAGAGCCTGGGGATGCGGGAACACGAGGAAAGCTCAGCCTATACCCTCCCACTCCACAGGCAAGAGATGTCGGTGCAAATTCAACCAACAGCAGAGGTGAGTGCTCCCTCCGGGCTTTCCTCGCTCCTCCCGCAGTGGAGAGGCGGTTGGGGGAGAGGCAGCAAGCGCACCCATCCTGCAGTCAAACACGAACCACGTATTAAGCGCTTAGCGTGTGCCAAATTCCAAGTCAAGCTCCTGGACCCAAGCGATGGTCAAGCCCTCTCTTTACTTGGCCCAGTTCCCAGCCAGTGGGGGCGCTGGGCTCCCACCAGCTCGGCAGACGGAAACTCAGGCATAGTGAAGCGTAGCTGGGCAGAAATGAGATCACCTCACAGGGCGGCCCAGTTTAGCTCCAGTCCCCATCCTCGCGCAGGATCCCTCTCGAAATAAACCTTTAAAGCGCAGGCAACGTAGGCATGCCTTCTGCGTGCTAAGACGATCACAGATGCCTCCATACCACCCTCTGGCATGCATGAGTGCACACCACGCGCCAGGTGCCGCTTCCTTCCCTGTTATCTACCCCTCACCCCACCTGGATGAGGTGGGTACCACCATCAATCCCGTTTTGCAGATAAGGAAACTGAGGCACGGGAGGTAAGGGGACTTAGGGCCATTCACTAAACCCAAGTACCATCAGGGCTGTCTCCCAAGACCGTGTAACTGTCCCTCTCCCCAACAATATTAAATCCCTTCCCCAACATCCCGGAGGCCTTCAGAATGGCCGGCTGGGAGCACCTCCTGCCTCACCCCGAAACAGCAGCAGAGGCTTCTTGATTTGGATGGACCGTATCCATATCCAAGTCCCCGGTGCGGTTTGGGAAATAAGGCCTGCACTGGGGGCTTCTCGGAAGTGACAGCCTTTCCTGGTCCATCCGAATTCTTCTGTTTGTCCCTTTCCAGAACTGGGGAACCCGACGAAGAGGAGGGAACTTTCCGCAGCTCCATCCGCCGTAAGTTCGTGGACACTGCGGGGGGCGGGGGTTGCGGGGCAGCTGTTTCCAAGAACCCCTCTTCCTGGGCGCGCAGCACGATGGGTTTGGCGGGGAGTTACCCCGGGTTGCCAATCCCCCCCTCACCCTGAACTCTGTGTCCTCCTCAGGTCTGTCCACCCGCAGGCGGTAGAACCTCCACCTGGCTCCGGGAAACTCAGCCAGGTCCTGCAGCTGATGGACTGAGCCGGGAGGGAGGGAGGCAGAGGGGCACAGTTCCAGGGTGGGAGAGTGGCGAGGAGAGCTCGGGGTCTCTGCTTGTCATTCACTCTTTTCACCCCCACAGGACTCCCTTGACACCTGACTCCTCTCCCAACCCAGCTGCTTGCCCGTGGCCACCTCCAGTGTCCCTTGCCTCAGCCCTGCCTCTCGGACACCCCTTACTACTAAGACCTCCAATAAAACTCGGTTTTCCCTCTTGATAGCGCTTGGTTGATCTCAGTGCCTCTCGTGCGAAAACCCCGAGCCCCCTTGGCCCCGGCAGGGGGCGCCCCCACCCTTGGGAAAGGGGCGGGGACGTCAGAAGTGGGCGGGGGCGGGGGCGGGGGGATGGCCTGGACGGGGGCGGGCTCTCTGGGCCCCCATTGGCTACAGGCCCCCCGCCCTACCAGGGCTCCCCCACCTTACCCCCCCACATCAGTCTGTCCTGCTTCCAGCTGCTGCAGCCGCGCCTTCGCTGCCTCAGCATTCAGCAGCCCCCTGCTCCGGCTCAGCATGGCCACCCCAACACAGAGCCCCACAAAAGGTGAGCGTCGCCGAGGGAATGGGTGCTAGGATGGAGGTGGGGGGACCCTGGATCTAAAAGCTTAGGGGGGACAGGATGTGGGGTTAATCCCATACTGAAAGGAAGAGGAAGGGGAAATGTCTGCCCCTATCATGGGCAGAAGCCCAAGAGCACATTCCTTGACGCCTCTTGGGGTTTCTTGGACACCCTGTACAGGACCTATGATTAGAGAGTGACAGTCCCAAGAGAAAGGATGCTCGGACAGGTTGCTATGGCAACCGGGTGCCTGGTCCAGCACAGCGGTGGAAGCTAAAGGGAAGAGATGGGAATTTAAGGGTGGGAGCTGATGGATCCTGCCTGCAGCCAGAGAGGTTCTGGAAGACTTTGGCACCCTGAGGTGGGCCAGTTAAAGGGGTCATTATCCCATGACTGCCTAGTATAGTGTAAATATTTCCTGAACTCCCTGACAGGCAAATGCTAAAGGACCAGAGGGACTGTTGAAGGGGGAAGAGGGTGGTAGTGGTGTGGTAAGAGATGAGCTAAGAAAGCTTGAAAGAGATAGAGACCAAGAGAAACAGGACAGCCAGAGGCACAAAAACCCAGGTGACAGTCTCAGAGATGCAGAGTTGGGAGGAGACAGAGAGATAGAGAGACAGACAGAAAGGAAGAGAGGCCAATTTTCAGACGTAGAGACACTGAGACAGAGGAATATAGACAAGTATGGAGGGAGGGGGAACGGGTGGGGCTGCTGCACTGCAGTGAACGCGCGCAGGGTGGGAAATGAATGTCGGGGACCCCCCCTTCCCAGCCCACATGTACTTTGGCTTCATCTTGGAGACACACTTGTCTCCCCACATTCAGTCGCACTGAATTTGCTCTTAGCACCCATTAACCCAGATCTGCGAGCACCGGCTTAAACATTCTCCGGCTCCGTGGCTTCCTGATCTCTCCCTGCAGAGGAGCTAGTGTTAGGATGCCTGAACCCGACTGGGGGTAAGGCAGAGTATCCGGGGTGCCGCGGAGCTCCTAGCGGTAGAGGGAACCCCAATTCCACTCTCATGGCACCTTCCCTAACCTCTTTCCCAGCAGGCAGAGGGTGGGTTGGAGGCTGGCTTCTGTGCAGAACCCTAGCTGCAGAATTCCGGGCAGGGAGGGGGTGAGGGGCTGCAGAGTCTGGGAGCCACCCCAGGGAGAGGTGGGCAGGATTGAGCCAGCAGGTCTGGCAGGAGCCCAGGGTTTCTTTTTCGCAGAGGTGGTGGTTAGCAGGATCGATGGCAGCAGACGGGTAGAGGTGGGAGGGCAGATGCCTCGCCAATCCCCTTCTCCCTATCACAGCCTGATAGGGGACCGCAGGACTTGGGAAACCCCGGGGGAGGAAAAGCTCCGGTGCATTCTTCGCAGGCAGCTTACGGAAACAAATTAATGAATTGTTGAGGGAGGGAAGGGAGATGCGGTTCTTGCCAGAGAACAAGAGGGAGAATCAGGGATGTGCAGAACGGCGGCGATGTGGGCACACCTGGGTCTAGGTCCCTATTTTTGGGAGCAAAGACACTCAGCTTGGCCAGAAGCCAGGTCTGCAGGGGTAAAGTAAAGGGGGGAGGTAAGATTGACCCAGCCACCAGACCTCACACAGAACCCCACCCAGACTAAAGTGCCAGGACCCCAATCACCTCGCAAGATGCCCTGGTTACCATAGCAACCACCTCCTTCTTGATCTCTCCCTGGCAACTGGCCAAGAGTAGTGAACATCGCTTCTCCTGCCTCTTGGCTCCACCCTTAACCCAACCACACCCTGAAGACTGGAACTGCCGTGGTCAGGGACTGCAGGGGATCTTTGGAGGAGCCCAGGAAGATGTTGGGATAGGCAGGCACCTGGAGAAGGGATGTATGAGAAACTAGGAGATGGAAAGATCCTCAGCCTTTGATGCAATCACCTGCAGGCTCGGAGGTCCTCTCAGCACTCATTTACTCATTCATTAATTCCAGAAAACTTCTTGAAACCAGACTGAACTGCAGAGACCAATCTGCCCAATCTGTGGTGAAGCTAAAATGCAGCCCAGTGGTCCCAGCTGTATGCATCCGACTTTTGCCCTATTAGAAAGTTCCTTCTATTGCTGTTTATTTAAGATTTTTTCCTTCAGAGAATTAACTTCTTAAAAAACAAACGTCAGTGGGCTTTATTTCTTTTTGTCACCACCACAAATGGAAAATTTGTACTATTTGTTTTTTCTATTGCCCTGAAAGATAGGAGGCAGGTGTGGTGGTGCATGCTGGACATCTCAGCATCCTGAAGGCAGAAGCATGAGGAATATGAGCTTAGGACCATCCTGTACTACATAGTGAGATCCTGTCCAAAAAAGGCAAAACTAAACCACATTTCCCAAACAACAATTCAGTTGACAAATGCTAAAGATACGTAGGCACCAAGCCAGGACTTCTTTAGAGGGGGAACAGAGACCCGGGAAGGATACACCAGATAAACCAGCTCTATCGGTCAGTTTTAGGCTCCAGGTAGTACTGGTAACACACAGTCCCAAAAGTCTCAGTGGAGGAAGGCCACTAGGAAGCATTGCTAACTTGTGGACATGTAGACAGAGGCAGGAGGTCTCCACACCCCAGAGTCAACTAAAGCACTCGTCATCTTGAGTATTCATTGGTCGGCTTTGAAGACACAGCCCTTCCCAGTTCCAGGAGAACCCAGAAAGGGGAGAGAAATACCAGTGCCATCACCGCCCCTCTTTCAAAAGCTGCAGAATTTGCTGGAGTCGGGGCAGAGTGTGGTGAGAGTTGCAGGGAGAGGCTGACAACTATAGGGTGGACAGCTTTTAATTTAAGCTTTACAGACAGGGTTTCACGATGTGGCCTCAGCTGGTCTGGAACTCACTATGTAGACCAGGTTGGCCTTAGACTTTCAGAGAGAGATCCACCTTCCTCTGCCTCCCGAGTGTTGGGATTAAAGGTGTATGCTACCATGACTGTCCAGGGTGGACATCTTACACTGGAAGGATGTCTGAGCTCCCTCTCTACCTGGCAGGGTCTTCTTGTAGCCCAGGCTGCCTTTGATGTCTCTATCCTGTCTCATTCTTCCATGTGCTGGGGTATGGGTGTGGACCACTATGCCTGCCTCTCCTAGCCTCCTGAAAGGGGATTAGGGCAAATGCGAGAGACTGAAAAAGGCACACACATGCACACACACGTGTGTGCACTATCTGAGGTTGGAGGAACCCAACCTCCGAGACCTAAGGGCCTTCTGTTTCACGTGGTGGGAAAGATCCATTTACAGAAGAGCACAAAGTTACCACAAGATTGATCTCAACTCTCCAAACTGCTGGTATCTTAGGTGACAGATATGTCAGCAGCACAGGTTGCCCATATGGGCTTTGGTGACAGCCTAAGCCAATGGGAGAGCCCTGCAGGGGGCAGCCTCACAACCTCAGGGACCCTGGGATGACTGGGAGGGTTGAGGGAGTCCTCAAGGAAAGCCAATGCATCCATCTGGTGGTCCTCTTGTGGGACTGGGCTCTGGTGGGCTCAGCGTGTGCACGTGTGTGTGCATGTGTATGCATGCATGTATGACTGTCCATGAGTGCAAGTGTGTGCATATATATGCGTGTATGCATGTGTGTGCATGTACGTGTGCATGTGCGTATATGTATGTGTGTGTGCATGTGTGTGCACATGCGTGTGTGTTTCACAGAATAACTGAGGGGTCTAGGACCAGAACTGTCATGCACAGCTGGGCAGGTGGTACACTGTACAGGGTGTGGCACTGATAGAGTGACTGGGTCTGGAGAGCATCCCATGTGTCTACTGAGAGGCGGTATCATCCACAATCGAGGGGCTTCCTACTCCAAGTCCCATAAAGAAACAGCTTGCCCATCTTAGTCCTCAAAGATGTCCAGCAAGCCAGCACTGAAACATGTCTCCCCCTCTTCTCTGTCTTCTTCCCCACAGTTCCTGATGAACCAGATCCATTTTACTATGGTGAGTGTTGGATCTTGTGCTGGGAAGCTTCAGCGGGGACTGCAGGACATGGGCCATCAGCTGTGTGGTCACGTGGCTATGGCTCACTGAAGGGGTCTGTGGAGGGCAGAGCCAGGTTGAGGGAAGGGAGGTGGTCTCCTACCCGTCCAGCCCCCAATGGGGACTGTGAGCCTTGTAAAGCCTGTTTTCTCTTGGGTTCAGGATAGAGATTAACTGGGGTCAGCAAGCACCCACCTAAGGCTGCCTGTTTGGAGACTAGGAAGAGACCTGGAAAGGGCAAAGGAATCCTTGTATCAGTGCTAGACGAACTCCATCAGTTGAAGGAGGCTGCTGCCTGCCTCAATAGCAAATAATACTCAGCGCCTCCCTGGATTATGGGCTCGTGGGCTGAAATAAGCAGAGGGGCCACTTGTGAAGAGCGCTGAGGTTTGAGTCTTAATTTACCCACTTCTAGCTGTGTGGCCGAGGGCAAGCAACTTTGCCTCTCTGGACTCTCCTAAAGTCCAGTATGCACTTATAGGTGCAGTATGGTTCCCACTTATGAGGACCATGGGAAGAGTTGCCATAATAACACCTTTCTCTCATCCGTAAGACACTGAAGCCCTGGCTCTGGCAGATCAGAGATCTAGCCTGAATTCCCCCCATTTTGTCTCCTGAGCCCCTCCATCTTTACTCATGAATACAGACTCCCTCATAGGCCAAGGTCCTTACTAGCAACCTCAGGGCCTTTGGACTTACTGTTTCTTCTGCCAGGAACATGGCCCCTTCCCCCTCCCCCACACAGTGAGCTAAGGCTCCTCTCCTTGCTGGCCTCGGATCAGATATTGACTGCTCCCTAGGAGGCTCTCCCTGAGTCCCCAGCAGGAGCAGCCACACCACACCCTGCCGTGACTTGGGGATTTGTGTGTGGCTTTGTTTCTGTTAGCAATTTTTGTTGGTTGCTGAATGCTTGATCACAGCATCGGAGCCAGCCGCTGAAGGGCGGACGCAAGGGGTACACAGCAGGTGCTCCCCTGTCCCCTCCCTGAGAAGCCTGTGTGCCCTGGGTGGTTGCTAGGCCCCGTACCTGGCTCTGGAGACACCATGGGGCCCTGGCAGCCTCCTGCTCACCTACTCACCACACATGTATACCAGACAAGAACAATTCTTCCCAGCATTCAGGAGGTTGAGGCAGGGGGACGGTGAGTTTGAGATCAGTCTGCACTATACAGTGAGACCCGGTCTCCAAGGAATAAATTCTTATGAAAGAAATTCAAAGAGGGGCTGGGACCTCATGAGACCACGAGGCTTTTAAATGGGACATTTCAAGTAAACCCACAGGTTGATGAGGAAGTCAAGTGCATGGAGCCTTCAGGTAGAGGAGGCAAGGTGGTGCAAAGGTCCTGAGGCAGGATGGCTGGCATGCTCTAGGATTAGGGGGTTTATACAGCTAAGCAGAGGACTGATGAGAATATGGGGGGCGGCGAATCCTGAGTAGAATCAGGGCTAAGTCATCTACATCAGTGCTAAATGAACTGTGTTAGTCAGGCGAGGCTGCTGCCTGCCTCAGTAACAATTAGTACTCAACATCTCCATGGGTTAGGACCAGGACTATGGGCTCATGCCCTGAAATAATCAGAGAAGCATCTTGGGAAGAGTCATAAGACGACTCTGAGGTTTGAATCTTGCCTTACATTGGTTTTTGATTGGAAAACTGGGGGTGAGGCATTTGGGAGGCCTCTGCTGGCCCCTGGTCTGACTGGGAGTAATAAGGTTCTTGTTGCTGCGGGAGGGAGAGTGGAGGCAGGGCAGCAAGATCACAGAGAGGTCTGCTGGGATAGTCTAGGCCCTGACTATGCAGGACAGGAACAAGATGAGGACCCAAGAAGGGGCAGCTGACGGAGCTGAGTATCTAGTGTGAGAATCCAGAAGAGCAGCATTGGGAATGAGGGTGGAGGGTAGAGAAACACAAAGGTCTTAGGTAGCTCAGGTAATTTGGGTCCTCCCCAGTCCCTGGTGGAGTTGGTGGGCTCAGCTGGCAGCTTTCCTGTCCTGTTGGGCCACTGACCTGAGCCCCAGGCTGGGCTGAGAGCTGCCGTGCCCTGAGGTACGTACCCCTGTCTCCCTTAGACTATGCCACCGTGCAGACTGTGGGGATGACCCTGGCCACTATCATGTTCGTGCTGGGTATCATCATCATCCTCAGTAAGTGCTCCCCACTTGTGGCGTGTGTCCCCACCTTAGAGGCTCTCCTGCCCACCCCCACCCTATCCCCATGTGCAAAAGTTCCTCTCTTCAACCTTTGAGGGTTCCCTGCTGGCCCCACCCTCCCCATCCTTACCTGTGAAGGTCCTCTGCTTGCCCTGCCCAGACCTTCCTACCCTACCCGCATTGTTCCCTGCTATTTCTTTCCTAACAGGCAAGAAGGTGAAGTGCAGGAAGGCTGACTCCAGGTCTGAGAGGTGGGGCAGCCTGGGGAACTGGGATGGAGACCCCTAACATAGGGCCCAGGGAGCCTAGCCACCTTGCTAAACTTCCCTCTCCTCTCTCTCCACAGCCCAACATGCAAGTCCTGTAAGTCGGAACTGCCCTCCTCAGGTGAGCATGGCTTTGGAGGACACTAGCAGGGTCCTTAGACGGCTACCTGGGAGGACCAGAGCCAAGGGCCCACCAGGCTGCAGCTGATTCTAGGTCCTTCGCGGGACAAAGCTGCAGAGGGGGGATTCCAGCAATATCTCAAGGAGGTCCCAAGAAAATGCAGGAGTCAGAAAACTTGGTGGGTGGGGTGGAGCTGGGGAAGTCTACGAGAATGGAAGCATCCAGCTAGTGCCTGGGAAAGCCACACAGGCACCTCTACCTTCCAGTGAGCCCGTGGGAAGAGGAAGGGCGGGAGAGAGAGGAGAGCGAAGGAAGAGAGACTGGGCTTCTGAGTAAAGGCAATCAGAAGAAGCACGGGATACAGATTTAGCCTGGCAGTGGTGGCACAGGCCTTCAATCCCAACCCTCAGGAAGCAGAGACAGGTGGATCTCTGTGAGTTCAAGGCCAGCCTGGTCTATGGAGTGAGTTCCAGGACAGGCTCCATAGCTACATGGAGAAACCCTGTCTCAAAAAAAACCAAAAGAAAAAAAAAAGGAATACAGATTTAAAGATGGAGGGAAAGCAAGAATGGTGGTGTATACCTTTAATCCCAGTGCTTGGGTGGGGAGCAAAGAGGGTGCATCTCTATGAATCCCAGGCCAGCCAGGGCTGCGGAGTGAGACCCTGCCTCGTAAAAACAAAACAAACAACAGCAACACCCAAACGACAACAACATAAAAGATGAGGTTTGGAAGGACATGCTGCTGGGGATGCTGGCCTCCATGCGTGAGGCCCTGGGTCTAATGCCAAGCACTGCCTCAACTGGGCGCAGCACCTGTCCAGGAGAATCAGGAGGACTTTGAGGCCATTCCCAGTAATAGAGAAGGCTAGAGGGCAGCCTGGGCTACACGAGACTGTGTCTCAAAAACAAGAAGAAGCAAAATAGATTCCACCTGGAAGGAAGTGAGGGAAGAGGAAGCCGGTGTGCAGGAGAGGAGAGGAGGGCATGGCGAGTCAGTGCAGGGGACAGGAAGATGATAAAGATGGGCTGGAAGGTGATGGGGTGGCTGCGGAGCGGGGAGGGGAAGGGAGGCTGCAGACTGTGAGCAGTTCAGAGGGAGGCTTTGGGGTGTTTGTTAGTAGAATTACCTCCTTTATAAGGACTTTAGAAGAGTAACAAAATATCAGAGGCAGGACTCTCCACCTCTTACAATGTCTACTTAGCCCTGGCTATCCAAGAACTCACTGTGTAGCCCAGGCCAACCTCAAACTTATAGCAGTCCTCCTGCCTCAGCCTCCCAAGTGCTGGGGTTGCAGGTGTAAGCCACTAGGCTAGCTTCCCATCATCTCCGGACAAAGGGCGGTGCTCTGAGGAGTTAGGTTACACGTTACACGGGGGAGGCTGGGGGAGAAATTAGATCTGGTTTCATGTCTTCCTAATGAGAGTTAGGAACATCAGCAGTGTCTCTGTGGTGCTGGGGCAGGAGTTTGGCCCAGCCTTAGCTTAGGCAGGAGAACAAAGATGGCCTGTCTTGGAAGGGAAGTGGAGGCCTGGCGGATGCCTGCTAGATGTACGGGTTCTCCAGAGCCTATGTATAAAAGGAGCTTGTGGGTGTAGCGTGAGGTGAGGCCTCTTTCTGCCAAGGAGATTTTAAGCCCCCAGGAATACCCAGGTTAGCCTTAGGTGTTAACCACAGCAAGGTTCCCTTACTCTGTGGCCCGGGATGGAGCAGACAGCATCAATGAAGATGTCCCCATAGTGACCAGATATCAGGGAATGGGAAGATATGTGGATTCCCCAAGCCTAGCCAGAGAGAGACCATCCCTAGACTCTGGTTCTTTCCCTCACTTGGGTCACTAACGTAAATTCTCTTCTGTTCCCAGCGCCTGGAGGTGGCGGCGTGTAGGACCTTCTGCAGATCTCCACTGCTGTCCCTGCCCGGAGCACAGGAGCCCGGGACGAAGGCGGTGGGGACCCAGCCTGGCGCCGGGGAGTATGCCCCCAATGAGCCGCCACACCCACCCCAAGGCAGGAGCCACTGCACCCCGCTGTCCTTCCCCAGGCCTTGGCAACGACGATCCCCCAAAGAGCCCATTTGCTCCCCAGACTCAGAGACTCAGGCCTCCAGCTCCTGGGATCCAGGAGTCTGTCCCCAGTTCCCTGGGGTCCTCATTTCCCTTCCTCCTGCATTTCCTGGTCTTCTCCAGGACCTTCCCGGCTGTCCCCTCAGGGTCCACGTGTTAAGCTTAATAAATGTGCATTCGTTTTTCCCCGTTCTGTCTGTGTGTTGTCATCTGTGGGCACCCAAGACTGGGTGGGAGGCTGAGGTGGTTGTGCTGTTTCTTCCTTCCTCCTCTTCTTTTCCTCCTTCTCCTCCTCAAGAGCCTCCTCTTCTCACCACATCCTTTCCTCCAGACCTTCCCAAGGGGCCTTCCCTTCTCTTTACCCTTGTCCCCATCTGTGTCCCCCCAGACCCTCCAGTGGAGGCCACCGCCCTCAGTCCCCCATCACCCTCCACCGCTCCTGCTCCCACCCCTGCCTGTGGGGCCTGGAAGCCGGAGAGGAAATGACTGAGCTGCTCTGGTCCCCGCCCGCCCTTGCCCGCGCCCCTGGCCACACCCTCCGCCCCGAGGCAGCTCCCACGCGGGACTCTCACTCTCCAGGCTAGAGACCCTGGGCGCCGACGTAAGTCCTTTCTTTGCTCTACCCTATTGCTGAGGGCCACGCATGCAGGTGGGAAACAGCTTAGGGGTCTTGGTGGAGGGGGAGCCTCGATGCCTCTTTGCCTCGCATTCACCCTGGTTCCTCTGTGGGCACACCTCCTGCCTCAGTCTCCCCAGAGCGGAGTCTTGGTCCCGGGCAGACCGGTCCCTCAGAGATATTCTCAGCATGGGTGCGGTGGAGCCTGCAAGGCAGCCGGACACCAGCTCACTTTTTCCTCTGAGTGCAGCCTTGCATTAGTCACCCTTCCTCTTCCCCTCCGGGCCCCACTGCTCTGGGCTCCTGTCCCCGAGGGAGCAGACACAGCGGGGCCCCTGGCTTCCTTTGCCAGGGAACCACCGGCGAGGAGGCTGAGCTCCAGCTGCAGGAGCAGGGAGCGGCTTCTCGGCCTCAGGGGTGTCAGGAGACCAGGCTCAGCTGACGCTTCTGGTTTTCTTTGGGGATCATCTTTTGGAAGAAGGGGATGGTGGCTTGGGGCTCTAGAAAGCATCCCTTCCCAGAGGCAGGTATCAGAGGGTCCTTGAGGCCGGGTGTGAGGGGGAGCCGGGCTGCTCCACGGAAGGGTTGAGGCTGCCGAGGGACCATGCCTCACTCTCCTTCGCCTCCACTCACCCACAGATGTCACCGTCCTGTTGTTTGTGTCTGCTCACCTTTGTCGCCCTGATTCTGCCCAGCAGAGGTAAGACGGCCCCCACCCCCAGCCTCAGTGGGCAGCTAGGTAGGGGTAACTGAAGACTAAATGCTCAGTTTCATCTTCTCATGCCCCTGGCCCGCAGTGAGCTGGCACCAGGAAGTGGGGGTGGTGAGGCGGGCTCTAGGTTGAACCCTCTTCAGACACTTCACACCTCTGGTGCCTGTTTCCAGAGAGTCTGGCTGGAGCCTGCCTTGCTGAGTGCCCTCCCTTTCACCTCTGAGAAGGACTTGTTGAGTTTGACTTGGCTGGCAGATTGGTGTCAGTTTTCTCCTCGGCAGCCAGGAAACCCCAGGCTCCCAGGAAAGCAGAACTGTGGGGGTTTTCTGACACAATAGTCAGGCAAAGGGGTCCAGGTGGGGCTACTGGACAGAGTAGGAGACCCTGAGCCTCACCTGGAAAGCTCTTGTCAAAAGGAACAGGCCAGGTGGCACTTGCCAATGTGTCTGGCGCCTTAGCTCACTTATGCTTAGTTAGATCCATTCTACATGGTGACATGATCATTGTATGGATGGGAAGCTGACGCTCAGTGAGCAAGTGTGGGGATACTGGAAGGGGCAGGAGCTGCCTGTGGGAGTATGAGACGCAGTGGCAGGCTGGGTTGCGGTGAAGTCAATGAGAAGAGGTGGTGGGGCTGGAAGCAGAACTTGGGGTCCAGGTAAACATTTTGGCTTTTCCTAGAGTGAGGTGCAGCTGACCTGGGCTCTGAGCCTTCAGGATCTGTCCTGACTTGGGTGTCCTCACAGGTTCCTTCTGGCTACAGGAGGTCAGAGAGAGGCTTCTGGGCACTCCAGTGGGAGGTGACAGGATCTAGGTGAGGAGCTGCCTACAGGGCAGGGGCCATAATCAGTTAATATCACACACTTTTCAGATGAGGCAAAGAGGGGGGGCTTCAGTGGTTCGGGACACACAGCAAGGAGGAGGTGGCTGGGAGCAGAATCTGAAGCCATGGATGGACCTGGCTGGCTCTACCACTGGGCCTCTCCACGAGGCTATCCTGCACGGATAGCCAGGCTTGATGCATTCTTAGGATCATGGAGTCACCCAGCAAGGCTGTTTTCCCTGGGAGTCAGGACCTTCAGATCTTCCAGGAGACTTCATAAGGTCAGGCACGGTGGTCCAGGGGGGGAGTATGAGGCCCCTTCTGACGGTTCAGCCTTGGTTCCCCAGGGCAGACTCCAGCAAAGGCCACACTAGGTTCTGCGATGGACCAGACTTCCGTCAATACTCCAGTCCCAGGTAAGGAAAGTGATACAGGTCTGTAAAATTCTCACTGCGGGTAACGACGCCACATACTTGGACCAAACAGGGAAATTTACAGTCATGTAACTGAAAAAGATTTAAAAAAAAGAAAAAGTCAGGGATTGAGCTTCAGGCATGGCCTGAAGTAGCTTAAATGCTATGGTCGGGGACCTAACAACCAACTCTTGCTCCTGGGTCCTCTGTTTTGAGTCCATCCTTAGTCAGCTTCTCATCTAAAAGAATCTAACGCTGGCAGGGGGCGGAGGGGCATTTGTATCCCAGGAAGAGGATGCTCCCAGCACGGCCCACCTCCTGAGTGCCCAGCCCGAGGCCTCTTACTAGAGCAGCTGATTCTGGTTGGTGGTCAGGGAGCTTTGGGAAACTGAGTCAAACCCTCTTTTCTGGGAAGGGCTTCTGAGTCTCACTCATGGTCTGGAGGCAGGGGAGACTTGGGCATCATGTTTGAGTGCTTATCAAAGGCCCTGAATTCTTCTCATCACCTCACAATGGAGCTGAAGGCAGTCCAGTGAAAGGCTCGCCTCACAGACATAAGGACCCAAGTTCAATCCCCAGAATGCATGTGAAAGGCCAGGCATAATGCCTACAAATCCCAAGGTGGACAGGTAGGGGCAGATGGATCCTAGGGCTTGCCAGCCTAACTTACCTGGTGAGTTCCGAGCCAATGAGAAAGCCTGTCTTAAAGAAGGTGGGTGGCTCTCACAGAAAGACAGTGGAGATTGCCTCTGCCCCCCCCCCCCGCACGCATACATGCATTGAAAAAAAAAAGATGGAGTTGCTATGGAAACACTTCAGTCTCCACCTGAGGAAACTTTCTGCTGCTCCCTTCCCACTTCTCTCTCTGACCCTGTTTTTAACCTCAGTTCCAGATGAAACCAACCCAGAAGTCCAGCCTACCCCTCCCATTCCGATCTGGGAAACTGATGGTGAGTGAGGTGAGAGGGCCCACGATGCACCCCCTCCTCTGACATCTGAAGTTTCCTTGCTCACCAGCCACCACAGCTCTGGACCCTTGCCAGCTCCACTCCATGTTTATCTTGTCCCGAAACCACTGCCTTGTAGCCCAGTTAGGCCTTGAACTCAGGGCAATCCTCCTTCCTCAGCCTCTGGAGTGCTGGCATGACAAGCTCCCTGTGCCTATTTGGCATCTGATTCCATTGACTTAAAAACAAAATAATTTTTTTAAATTGACCCATTTTCAAAGTTGAACACTTGCACTTTACAGACACTCCCAGTGCCTGCTCTGCCGTGGCTTCCACTCAGCTCTGTATCTCCCTAAAAGTTGTTTTTCAAGTAATTATTGTACTTTTTCTTGGAGTATAACATAATTTAGAGTGTTCTTTATCATTTCTTCAGTTAACAATTAATGATGCTGGAGACATGGCTCAGTGGTAGAGCCCCTGCCTAGAATCCCCCAGTGAGGGGCTGGAGTTGGCTCAGTGGTAGAGCCCCTGCCTAGAATCCCCCAGTGTGGGGCTGGGGGTGTGACTCAGTGGTAGAGCCCCTGCCTAGAATCCCCCAGTGAGGGGCGGTGTGATAGCATGCCAGTCATGTACGAGGCTCTGAGTTCAATTCTTAGTATCCCCCCCAAAATTAAGTATAAATTGTTTTATGCCAGCACACAGAAAGTTGCAGCAAGAGGACAAAAACTTAAAGTCAGCCTGGGCTACATGGTTTTGTTTTTAAAGAACAGTTGTCCTGGTAGTAATATGGACACACATTTCACTATCCTGCAGTGGTCAAAGGGTCCCCACTCCATCAAAATAAAGGAAGACCTGGTATTTTAGACTGTGTGTACTACAATGTGGGGGGAGCCCCGCTCGGCAGTTCTGTGGCCATCTCGTCCCCTCACTTCTGTCCTTGTCTTCTCACTGGAGTAGAAACCACGCAAAGCCAGACAGCGGCCAAAACCGAGATCCAGCACCCAACAGGAATGGACACCATGAATCTGGCGACAAAGCCAGGGACACACATGAGCAGAGAGAAAGGTAGAGCCTTGGCTGACAGCAGCAGCCTCTAGGTTTTGTTTAATTTCCTCCGTTCTGGGTCAGCATTCCCCCCGAGTGCCTTTCTTAAAGTGCCTGCCTGGGGAATTGCTAATAAGCTCTGTGTGTGTGTGTGGGGGGGGGGGGGATGTGAGTTCATGCATGTGTATGAGTGTGTCTGTGCATGAGTGTGTGCGTGTGTGTGAGAGGGGGTGAGTGCATGCATGTGTTTGAGTGTGTCTGTGCATGTGTGTGCATGTGTGTATGTGTGAGGGTGTCTGTGCATGAGTGTGTGCCTGTATGTGTGAGAGAGAGGGAATGAGTCCGTGTGTGTGTATGAGTGTGTCTGTGCATGAGTGTGTGTGTGTGTGTGTGTGTGAGGGGGTGAGTGCATGCATGTGTTTGAGTGTATCTGTGCATGTATGTGTGAGGGTGTCTGCATGAGTGTATGCCTGTATGTATGAGAGAGGGGGTGAGTCCATGTGTGTGTATATGAGTGTGTCTGTGCATGAGTGTGTGCATGTGTGTGAGAGAGGGGGGTGAGTGCATGTGTGTGTATGAGTGTGTCTGTGCATGAGTGTATGCGTGTGAGAGTGTGTCTCTCCGTGTGTGAGTTTGTGTATGAAAGTGTGAGTGTATGTGAAGCTGTCCAGAATTAAAGTGCAATGCCTCTGTGTGGAAGACCTTCTCAGATCCTTGAGAAGCCATTCTGTAGCAAGCAACTCTGTGCAATAGACGAGCTGACTGGCTGTCTGGTTCCCTATTTCTGGGCTGGTTGGCGCTGAGAAATGGAGTTGTGGGTTTCCTTTGAGTCTTTTTTTTCTGTTACAGCAGAATCTTTTCAGTTGCAAAATATCTCTCTTAAAAAAGATGTTATTGGCTCAATTCTGTAAAATCTGAAGATAAAGCATCAGGCACAGCTGGACCAGGAACTGTCAGTGTCTGAATTGCTACCCCTGGGTCTCTGCTGTCAACATTCTCTTTCCTTCTTGGTGGCAAAGATGTCCCATACTTGGGCAGCTAGGAGACACTTAACCCATAAGCCTGGAATGGACTCCTATTCGCCTGGTTGAGATCACATGTCCTTGTTTGATCCAACGGAAGCCTGAAAAGTGGGCCATTCTGGTTGGTCAATGGGGGCCTTGTTTCCCCTACCTTGAGGCTGGAAAAGTTCACCCAGCCGGGAATCAGGAAGTAGTTTCCTCTAGACTGGCAGGTCCCCCCCCCAAGCTGAGACTGAGGCCGGAGATGACCCCCTAATCCTCACGTGATGTCAGAACTCGGGAGACAGAGGTGGAAGAGAGAGCATGAGGCCAGCATGGAGGACCCTGTCTTGTTGAAATAGGAGCGGCGGGGCTTCGTCTCCAGCACCCTGGCCGCCTGGCTAGCTTATGCCCGAAATAACAACACACAAATTGTATTCTTTTAAACACTGCTTGCCCATTATATCTAGCCTCTTCTCAGCTAACTCTCGCACCTGGACCAGCCCATTTCTAATAATGTGTGTAAGCACCCCAAGGTGCGCTTACCGGGAAGATCCTAGCCTACGTCCATCCTGAGTCAGAGCTTCATCGCGTGTGTCTCTGAGAGCAGAGCTATCTCGCGTCTGTCTGAGGAGTCATACCTCACTTCCTCTTCCTCCTGTTTACTCCTCCCACCTATGTTTTAACCTATCAGGGCAAGCAGTTTCTTTATTTAATTAACCAATGAAATCAACAGATTGATATATGACACTCCCACATCACTGTCTCCAAATTTTTTAATTAAATTAATATTAAAAAGAGAATGCCCTGCTATTTTTAGTCCCAAATCAGAGGGAATGCTCACAATATTTTCAATAAGTATGTCTCCAGGACAGTGGGGACCAAGTCCATAAAATCCTGACTTCTGCGCTTGGGTTATGACTGGCGTTCAAGGAGAGGGGTACGCTTGGGGCTGAGCAGCTGGTCCTGCCTCCGGGTGCCAGCAGATGCTTGTTGCCAGAGTGTCGGTGGAAGGTGCCTGGGCGCCGTCCCCCAGATGCACAGATGTAGCCCTGTTATTACATCCACACTCCTGTCTCTGCCCCTGCGGCCCTTCCTGCCTTGTCTTCTAACCGTTTTTTTCTGCCTATCACCCGAAGGTACAACAGCACCCCCTGGGATGGGGTCTCCAAGCCCAACCAAAGATGAAGTGAGGTTCTACTTTTCCAATTCACACGGTTAGTACCTCCTTGCCATGACCATTCACAGGTGTCCTTTAGTTTCTGCTCTGTGTGGGGAAGTCTGAAGGGCTCATGCCCCAGAGGAGGCTGACAGAGGGCAGGAAGGCGGTGATGTCTGACCGGACAGATGGCAGCGTGTGCCTAAATGGCTGAACAAGCCAGGTCACCACCTCAGCACGTTTGGGTGGCTGCTTTCTGAGCTCTGAATTCTGAAAATTGAAGTTCAGGCTGGGTGTAGCTGGGTGGCTCTTCTAGCCTCTAGAGACTGGCTCACACACCTAAGATCACTCGTGGACCAGCAAGGACTCCATTTGGTAGTCTTGATTCTTCCCCTCCTGATCTCCACTTCCTGTCTACCAACCCCCAACGGAAGACATAGAAGCCATATGCCCAGGTCACCCATTCACCTGTGTATTCATCTCAGAGTCATGTGTGTGCCAGGCAGCCACCAACAAGACAGACAGATATCTCTGCTGTTACTGGGCATGGTGGTGCAGCCCTGTAATCTTTACCTGGAGAGCAGGGGAGAAAGATGCCTGCAAGTTTGAGGCCAGCCTGGATTCCACAGCAAGTTCCACGACAGCCTGGGCTATATAGCGAGACCCCCCCCTTGAAGCTGACACGTTAGTGGGAGAGGACAGCATATAATAATTGGGGTTCTTGGGCTGGAGAGATGGCTCAGAGGTTAAGAGCACTGACTGCTCTTCCAGAGGTC